ATGTTTGACTTAGTATAGAACATAAGAACACAGGCCCAAAATAACATTGAGAAAACAATTAATTCATTGAGATATTTGATGTTTGAAGTGAATTGGGTTCATTTGATCGTGAGCCAGTTGTTGAGGTCATTAACACCGTGACGTGGAGAGTCTTCAGAGACCAAGACCTTGGACATTATATACACTTGCATAAATGAAGACATTACTTACAAATACATTTACAATATGAACAATTACGTAATGTATGACGTATTTCTTACGTTACGTTAGAATCTGATGCGAATTTTTCTATTCAGTTCATTGGTTTCCATCTAGTATGGGATAACAAGCTGATAATTACTAGGTAAATGTTAATTAAATCGGAATTCCCAATTTTATATAGATATTATTTATAAACATATTTATTATAAAATGGATTAATTTCGACTTATCAAACGATACGACACAGTAAATCATTCATACTTTAATTTAGGATATATATTATCATGTTTCTAGAAATATTTTACATATACATAATCTATTAAAAGGAAGCAATAAAAGCCGGGACATACTATCGACACATCTAACACGAGTGATTTACTATCAATTATCGAATTATCGATAATTTCATAATAACAAAACACCATAAATTAATTAGGCGTATCATGAAATCCTTGAAAACATCGATAAAATGCTACGATAAAAAAAATCAATTTTCCACACTGCTTACTAGTGGTTTTTGAGAAGTATGTAACATATTTTCGATATCTCTTCAACAAAGAGGCTGATCTAATCTCTTATTTTCTTTACTTGTATATATTACTAGTTTTTGCCCGCGGCTTCGTCCGCCTTAATTTCAATATTAATAATATTGATAATATGTATAATTGTTATAGCTGACCAGGCGAACTCTATTCCGCCCTAAAGGCCGTAAATAACCAGATATTATAATTTGTAGTTTATTAAGTATTTTTTCTGTTTTGATCGAAAAGAATTAAATATCCTATATCCGTCTACTTTATTTTATCCAAACCCGTACAGAAGAGTTAATTATAAGTTATATAAGTTCTTGAGTTATAAGTTCTTGAGTTATAAATAGTGTAATTAAAACTACTTTTTTTATTAATAGATATATTGTTGATGATTTAAAATAAACGCTTAACAAAACTATTGCCGACAATCACCTTTTGTTGAAATGCGAAAAAGCTTTGACATTGATATATTGTTTTGTGAAAATCTATATAGAGTATTATAGTCCCTACTAATATTATAAATGAGAAAGTAACTCTGTCTGTCTGTCTGTTACGCTTTCACGCCTAAACAACTGAACTGATTTTAATGAAATTTGGTACAGATATAGAGTTGACCTTGAGAAAGAACATAGGATAGTTTTTATCCCAGACTTTTGAAAGGTTCTCTTGGAAACGCGATATAACCGAACTCCACGCGGGCGAAGCTGCGGGTGGAAAGCTAGTTTATAAATAAAAACATAACATTAGTTTAAGTGAATGGTGAGGTAATAAATGTTGTAATCGGTATTAACTTTGTATTTACGAGCGGTTTAACGATAAGGGAGTGAGTATGAGAAAACATAGAACAATCGCTAGGCCAGACACGTATTGTGTATTATAAATATAGACGGAATATTTTTTATATAGATTTTTAGTATGATAAGTAAAATAACGAATCTTTGATACGTCGGTCGACCACAGTAACCTGTGTATCAAGTCAAGGACGACATGAAACAGAAGATATTATCACAAACATAAAGATTTATAAAAGATTTTACTAATAAATTAAATAAACGTAATGGATTATATTCAAAATGTAAAAATTATTAGAATACTTTTATATATTTTAAACATACAATCCTACTAATATTATAATTGCGAAAGTTTGAGAGTGTGTGTATGTTTGTTACTTCTTCACGCTCAAACGGCTGAACCGATTTTGATAACATTTTGTATACAGGAAGCTGACGTCCATGAATAACACATAGGCTACTTTACATCCCGGAAATCCGCGGGGAACACCGCGGGGCGCAGCTAGTAATTTATAAGAATAACATAAAGAGAACAAGTAAAATGCAAAAAAAAAAATCTTATATATTCTATAGTATTATTTATTATTGATAATTAAAAGACATCGTACGATAAAACTGTACTTGAACACATTACTATCATATGTAACAAGTCACAGAGGAGTTGAGATTTGGGAAGGCAATCTTATCAGACGCTTGATACCGACCGGGGTCGAAATGTACGTGCGAATATTCTCATACACTTGTATGATAGAATACATATATATATGATAATAATAATTAATTCTTTACTAATATTTTTTAATATTGAATGAAACTAATATTTTTTGAATGTACTAAACGACTTTATTTTTGATAAAAAACTACATTTATCACGTGAAAAGTAGCTGACACGTAAGAAGTATGTATTCTGATAAAAAATTTCGCGTATTATAATCCGAAGAATATTCGTTTCATTTAAATGAATACTCGTTAATATAATCGTTTCATTTAAATGAATACTTAATTTAAGTGAATACTCGCGAAAATCTTAGATGTTATTATTGTCAGGTCTCCCTGTTACACGCGGTGTGTTCATGTGATTCAAAAAAGTCTCAATCGTCTTATAAATAATCATCAAGTCGAGGAACAGGTGTTGTTAATGTAGGAATGTTCTTCTTTAAATTGACCTTTAATTATCACGAGATAAAATCTTATCTTGAAAAAAATTATGCGAAAATTAAGTCAATCAACGTTTTTTTGATAAGCATTCCATTTGGGAATTTCGTTAATTTGAAATTTTTCAGTTAGTATAACACACACATATACATATGACACACACATATATATACCTGTGTATATATACATATATTATGACGTAACTCTGTGATCTATTGACAAATTTATTAGTGTCTTTCATGGCATGTATTAATTATTATCAATCAGTTTCCTTAGAATTTTAAGTATTTTTTTAATATACTTATGACACATGTATCATTTCTTATCATGCCTTTTTTATTTATATATATTTGTATGTACCCTCGTCCCCGTGACAGACGGACCGGTTGCATTTGTCTTATATACAAGAGACATTGACCTCAGCTAACGGACCTCGCTAAATGTACCCGATTTCAGATGACGATTTCAGTAATAAGGCTTTAAATGAATATATTATGAACTCACGTGGAGACAAGACTACTAGCGAAAAACTGAACATACTTACATATATATGAATTAATTAAACGCCTAAAAGCCTATAAAGATAATATTAACTTTATTAATTTATGAAAAATATATATGTATATTTTTATATATGGCATTTTTGCCATATACGTAAAGTTGCCTTATGTTTAGTGGTATATTATTTTAAGAATAACTTGTTTCTGTCTCGGTGCCACATTGGAAGCATTTCGTAACAGATCGGAGAAACTAAAAGCAGTTCATATTACATTATATTCTATTAGCGGTTTACTTGTACGGTCTCTGTTAAACACGCTCTACACGACACAACCAAATACACTACAGACTCATTATTCAAATTATATTAAGATGTGTATATCAAACAAATATTTATTAATAAATTTCTATATTATCGCCTTTTATTTTAATTACAATTTACCATTTTCTACCTGATATTTCTTTTGCAGAAACCTTACGTATACATATAACAGAATTTTGTGAATTACTGTGGTCTACATCCGGCTTTATAGTTAAAAACCCAATTAAAAATTTCGTTTAGAAGTTGTAGTAATCATGTTAATTTTGTATTGTATATAGTAATACTAACATTTTAGTTTTTATTTACAACTAATATTAGGTTAACCAAAATTTAAATTCACATCGTTATTCTTACCACAAGTTTTCAACTTGAAATTCAACACCGACACTCAAGTTAGCCGTTTAAAAATACTGTAGACATTAAGTTTTATAACTCTTGATAAGTTTATTGTTGGAGTCATTAATGAATGTGTCGATTTCAATCTTTCCCAGCGATTGTTAGTCTCACGAAACAGAAAGTGAAAGTTTATTATAAAGAATAGTATTGTTATAAATACAAATATATCATAAAATTATTAAATATGTATTACTAACATGAAACTTATGGTGAACTTGCCATGTCTCTTCCGTCTACTCACTACTGTTTTGGATAAAATTATTCATGATTTAATATTCTTTTGTTTTATAATTTATTCAGTGCACCGATTATAATATAATAAATTTAGTGTTCGGCAACAATACCAATAATAAAGAAGTATAATACTGCTTATAAATCATCATTTAATATGTATACGTGTTTAAAGCCCTTTCTCCGACTAAAAGCGAAACATAACTGAATACCGCTAACTCGAATTAATAGCTTGTTCACGTGTTATTGTATGTAGGTGAAATAAATGCTGCATCTGGACCAGACGAGATGAAGTGGCGCTCGTCGTCACGCTACACGCGTTATACTTAATATTATAATGAAAATATTACTTAAGAAAACACTCATATAGATATTATACGAACTAACTGAATCCCTGAGTCAAACTAAACGTGTTATGAATTAAGTCACGATTTACGTAAAACGTTTGTTAGAAAAAATATAAAGACGTCAAATACAGAAAAAATTAATGATATAACACGCTTTTGTTCGTTTTTCAATATTTCCCAGCTTCAAGTCCTACTGTCGTATTTAAATACATTAAAATTTTACAATAAAAAACACATATTTTATGTTATCATATTACCCGGATTCTTCAAATTATAATTCACATATTATCATCTTATTATAAACTAAAAACTAAAGCGATTCAAACGCATTAAAAGAAAAAGTAATAAAGTTTTGTTATACTTAATATTCCGTTCTCATAATGACTATCAAGTCACAATTTTTTTATGGCTGTAACTCGTTTTATTATCGCGCTTTTAACATTTTATTAATGTGATATAATTTGTTTTAATTTTATGTTTAAAAGTAACGAACTATTCTTCGTTTTAAATAATGTTTCGTTCAACTTACATCGTAACTCCAGGTACAGGATACTCCGGCGAATTTTGCGACACAGCGGCCGAGCTCGACGTCCTCGTGCGTCGTGTAAAGATGCTTCAGACAGTACTTCACGTGAGGAGCCACTCGCCGGAGAGTCTCCCTCGAGATCAGTACTCCCGGCCCTCCCATACAGAAGTTCTCGTTGTAATCTAAAGCCAGAGCGTCCCTCTCCGAGTTGGTCCCTCTGCCCGCCTGTCCTATGAACTGCGGCTTCCTACTGTCCACGGACCTCAAGAACCGCCCCAACTTATCACCTCTCACGTAAACATCGTCGTCCGCGCGCATGAACCACTCGAACCTATCACCGTAATTCTCGTACATATACAACAACATCATGAATGACTTCTTTTGAGGAGGGTAACTATCGTCCACGTTTCGCAACGACACTAGAGGCAGACCCGGGGCCCGCGATACTTCCGAACTAAAGAACGCCAATCTTCCTGGTAAGTCTTGAGCCCAGGTGTCATACACCGCTCTGGCCCTAGTGGTCAGATACTGTTCCGCGGTCATCACACCGACAAACACTAAAGTTCTGTTAGAATTTTGTATGTTTTCGTCCGGTTTTAAATCTATCAACACCAGGGGGTCCGGAGCCACATACGTCTTGGCCGCGACCGGACATGTTTCCACAGACCGCGAGGAAGTCCTCAAACACAATATCAAAAAAACACCCAACGTGACTCCGGCGACGATGCCGGCCAGCAGATGCATCCACTTGCTCCTTCGCGGCATCGTAGCAGCACTGCTTCAATTAAAGCACCCAGTCTCACCAGCCGACCACATGTGTGCATTCCAGGAATAGTCCTTTTATCCCTTTTTCGTCGGGGGTAGACATCAGCGGGCTGCTTTGACGCGATTTTGCCGCCCGATCACATGTCGACGGAGCCGCGAGCGCGTCATGCGATATCGAACAATAAATACTATCGCGATATCGCGCTCTATATATCAAATTTGCAAAAATTTTATCGGCAAAAATAGTGCGGTGAGACGCAACGCGTGTCGTAATGCGAGACGCTCATTTTACTCTACGTTCAAACCCGTTCTGAGTTTTGATCGCGAGCCGCTAGAAACACGATATAGATATGGCGGTATCTTAACGCAACACACGACACTCCACACACCACACGTCACACACGGCCGCCGTGCGCGGTGCAACTGGTCAGTGGACAGTCACAGTGGACCGCCGACCGTCTAACTTCCGAACGTCTCAACTCTCAAAACAAAATTCAAGCAGCGGTAATTCAGACTGTCCGCGCAGACCAACGCGTGCCTTCTCGCTCGCACTTACAATAGGAGCTATGTCTTTCCTTGTCTAAATGCGTTGGATTCGAATGAACCCGTCCCATTCATGCAGGGCAATGACAAGAAAAATTTAAGATATTAGACAATGATGTCCTAAAAACGTTACGCGGCCATTGTCTGGAGTCAGTTATTGTTGTTGTGTCCTCGAAGACTACGAGAGGACCTGAGTTCGGAGTTGTGAGGCGTCAAAGATCTCATAAACGACTGTGGCGTGATCAGCCGCCGGGCCGCTTATTTGCATATAAGAAAATTATATGACGTCCGGCCGGTACCGATAATTGTATACCATCCCTGTAATTATCTAAACCACATAAAATATAAGAGATTATCCACCTTGCTTGTTCTATTACTATTTTACAGAAGTATATAATGAAAAATGCACGTAAATATTTGACCATGAGTAGTTTATTTTATTTTACATAATCTGTATAATTACATTAAAAAACATTTATTGAATATGCATTCGGCAAAGCAACCAAGGTCAATATGTATATCGGCTCACATCAGCTGACCGTATTAACATATGTATTATGTATTCCGGACTAAAATGCGCAGAGCCAGATCACAAAAAAATACATATACATATATGTATATACATTACTTCTGTCACCAATTCATATCTTTATATATTTATCGACATTTTTAAACGTGTTAATTTTGCAATAATTTTACGATCCAATAGTTTAGCTTATATTATGATTAAATAAAACCATACAATCATACAACACTTCTTGTTTTACCATTTCTTTTTCAACCTTAATAAATGTTTAAATACTTGCCAAATCTTTAATAATTATAACCGTGTTTTTTTAAACAACATAAATATATACTTAGTGTCTGTGAGCAACTAACATGTTGAATAAAAAATAAAATCAAAAGAAATGCATCACACGTGTTGACGGGACGTCATTTGTTTGACAGATGGGTCGGTGCAATGCCAGGAGTTAGTTGGCGGGTAAAATACTTGAGAGGGAATTAAGGGCGCCACAGGACCGGTTTGGAGCGATTGATTTTAGGTCAATGTTATTACAATAAATCAACAATATACCTGAACAGAAAGTAGTTTAAAGGAATGAAAACAAAACATTATCGTAACTAAAAAAGTGCAAAATTAATAAATGTATGACGATAAACTTGATAACAAGGTCGTGTATATGTTAAAAAAGAATGATAAATTATATAACTCATTTGAAAGAACGATTTAAGTGTTCTCAATAATGCATTGATTTTATGTTTTGAAGCCTTTATGACTATACTTACTTTGATTTGTTGAAGTAACAGAAGTAATGTTTCAAATTACTTACATTTCATGTACCGTATTCAAACAACTATTTACTTATAATTAGTTTAATATGAACATCACGAAACAATTAGCATTCAGCGGTCAGATGTCACGGTTAGCGATAATCTTAAAAATAGATTCATTAATTATAATGGCAGCTTCTCTTGGAATAAATACGTATAAATTAGTATTTTTAAATAGTTTTTTATTCAAACGAAACAATTATTCACATCTCGTCTGTCAATGATCATGGTTGTTGTAAAATAACAGAAACATCGGGAGTATGTAGTTTTTAAAATAATAAAATAACGTAGTAATCCGAAAATATTAGTTTCATTTAAATGAATACTCGCGAAAGTCTTAGATCTCATTAAACAATGACAAATGTATCTATTTCTTCCGTTCTTCTAGTGACGCTGTCGAAACGTGGAAGTTGGAATGAACGTAATACTACAAAAAATGCAAATGGAGAACTTTTTTTAGCAACACGTATTTTTAAATATAAACCTCGCTTGTAAATATATCACTGCAATTCTTGATATTTATACTGCTAGAGCTAGCGTCATAGAATACTATAAAAATATTTATAAATCGCATTTTATATTTTTTTCTTAACGTCACAATTGTAAGATTTTTTTAAACATTGCGTGTTTTAGCAAAACAAAACAAGTAAATTATCTTCTCTCTAAGTTATATATGATTTAGAAAGATAAAGAATAATATCGACAAACTTATTATAAATTGTGTTGGTAAAAAAAAGAAACGATTATTTTTTGTACAATAAAAATAAATTTTGATGAAAGTAACTAAGGTCGAATTTATTTAATAAAAATGTATCAATTTATCTGCACAATAAATTTCAAGGCTCATACAAGTAAACAATAATTACATACAAGTCTTAAATACTTGTTTCATTTTAAGGTAATAAGTTATTTCAACAGTTTTTAATGGTAATTACAGAATTACCAAGCTGTTGAAGGCTTTATATATTATAGAGGTAAAGGTATATGGACTTCTATAAAATCCCTACTAGTCCCTACTAATATTATAAATGCGAAAGTAACTCTGTCTGTCTGTTACGCTTTCATGCCTACACCACTCAACTGATTTTAATGAAATTTGGTACAGAGATGGAGTTGACCTTGAGAAAGAATATAGGCTAGTTTTTATACCAGACTTTTGAAAGGTTCTCTTGGAAACGCGATATAACCGAACACCACGCGGGCGAAGCTGCGGGCGGAAAGCTAGTATACTATAAAACTCTAACAAAGACTACTACTACTACACGCCTACAACGTGTACTTCAGACGAAGTATTTGAGAGTTCTGTCATCGAAAGACGTTAGACCCCCCCCCTCCCTCCTCGTCCTCCAAAAATATTCTCAATCAGGCTCGTACTCATCTTACACTATGAACGGCCGCTTCAATGGCGACTGCCATACTAGTACACTTCGAAAAGTAAAAAACATATTACAAGCCTTAAATGTTAGACCAAGTTGTAGTTATAGATAATAATTAAAAAGTAATAAAATCCTAAGTACACTCGTACAATATTAATTTCTCATTCTTATCCATTCTAATGGCGGGAAAATAAAAAATAAAAATGGTATCGATAAACTAAACCGAATTTTGTTTCAAAAATTTTGCCGCCTTATACAGGGTGACTGGTGAACTACTATCGATACTTGAGGACGTGATATTTGACAATCATATATGACAAAATAAAAATTAATATAACATAAATATTAATAAACTTCTAAGTAAAGTTAACCAAAAGTTATGTAATTAATTACGCATCGTGTGAACACCCTACAGATTAGGTATACACACACACACACACACACGCGTGCGGCGGCGTAGTGTTGTATCAGCACGCCGCCGCACGCGTCCACACTTGGAACACTTGGAACGTGTCCACACTTTATTTATTTATACGGAAATTTGGTCAAAAATTAAGTACCTATTTTTTACATAATTCGAATGAGAATCATGTACCGAGTATTCTCCTTAAATATTGATAGTAATTCACCAGTCACCCTGTATATGTTTATCGTCGTCACGTGGTAGTGTAGCGTTTAGTACCCCATAACGATCACATAACTTTATTAGAACGCAAACTTTATACAACACTTTAAACAAACCGTATACCTACCTAGCAAGAGTAGCAATTGATAGGAGGCAAACTTGAAATAGGAACTAAGAATAAAATATATAAGGAACTAAGAATAAAATATACAGGGTGACTGGTGAATTACTATCGATATTTGAGGACGTGATATTTGACGATCATATATGACGAAATAAAAATTAATATAACATAAATATTAATAAACTTCTAAGTAAAGTTAACCAAAAGTTATGTAATTAATTACGCATCGTGTGAACACCCTACAGATTAGGTATACACTGACACTCACACATACGCGTGTCGTGACGTAGTGTTGTATCAGCACGCCGCCGCACGCGTCCACACTTGAACACTTGGAACGTGTCAACACTTTACTTATTTATACGGAAATTTTGTCAAAAATTAAGTGCCTATTTTTTTTACATAATTCGAATGAGAATCATGTACCGAGTATTCTCCTTAAATATTGATAGTAATTCACCAGTCACCCTGTATAAGAACTAAGACCATAAATTCGTCGAGACAAAATATACACAGAGCTTGTTCATAAAATCAATCGTATTGATTAAATTCTTCTCGCCTAGCGCTTACTTAAACTGAGACTTACTTTACGGAATTACTCCTAAAAGATACTTAAACATGAACGTGTCACTAGAGAATAGTAGGCTAGTTCTTGGTAAACTTGTGACTTTCTTTTGTTTAATTACGTACTATTTCGGTAATATAAAGTACTAGAAGACGCGGCGAACTTCGCATCGCCCTATAATCAAGAAATATCTGTTACTTTTTTTATTTATATTTTTGGAGTTTACCTATTAAAGCCATAAATCACCGTATTTTGAAGTGCGACAGAATGATTGACATATTAGTTAGTTGTCAAATCTAATGTCAAAAAAAACTTTTGTATCAACAACTACCAATAAATTAAAAAAAACATTGTCCAGCGGACAAAATTGTGAATCTAAACCATTCCCAGATCCCCTTGAACACACACAAAAAATTTCATCAAAATCGGTCCAGTCGTTTGAGAGAAGTTCAGTGACATACACACTCACAGACGAATGATATATATGTATAAAGATTTCACTTATTACCCCATACCACATGACACATAATATTAACAACCTCAAAACTAATAGTATTACATAGTTTCACCAAAGTGATGTTTACTAAAAATTACTGTCAGTAAAAAAATTAAAAAAATATATTGAAATAAAAACAACGAGTGAAAATAACTTTTATTATATTTTCATTTCTGTGAAGCCATACAATATAAAACCACGCCCTACGCCCAAGCATCACTAACAGATTTAAAATAAATTAAGATACAACATTTGTGTATATTACACAATCTATAGAAAAATATTCTTTTTATTTAACTAAATGTTACCTACTACGAGATAGCGCGGCAAAACTACCACAGACAAATAAACTTTCAAACGAACATTCGTTTTAATAACAATTTTTTTTTTCATTCAATGTTAAATCGATGCATTCGATAAATGAGAATTCAATAGTAACATTGCATACACTGTTTCGTTCTCATATGTACAATACATACATTTATATATTAAATACATGACTTGTAGTTTCATGTCACCAGCATTTACGTAGAAAATTAACTTTAGTTCAAAATATAAATAGCGCCGTCTATTATACGTAAAAATTATAATTCCAATACTAAATGTAGTACAGAGCCATTCAGCCAGATTCATTTATAAGTACATAAATAGCTAAATAGTAACAATATTTATGACGCGCAAGATTCGCATTTATCATTAAAGTTACCTGTGACTTATTCAAAGATTTTATTTCTGAACTGACTTAAAATTGTAAGTCTTCAAATCCTTTGTTGTGATTCAAAAACTTTTTTTACAACTTTGCAATTAGTCACAGATTATGTCAAGAAAAATTCTATCACATTCACAATCACTACAGCATTTGGGTAAACCAAATCTAATAAGTTCTTTATAAAATTATACGATAAATATTCAGACAAACGTATTGAATAAATTTAATGGACGATTAAAATTATATCTTAAGATTTATCTTATATTATTTACAATATATAGTTGTTTATTTTCACACAAAATCTTTTCAAAACAATATCAGCTAATCATCACAAAGCATTAAACTAAAGTGCTAAGGCAAAGTCGTGATAAAATAAAAATGGAATTACATAGAGTATAAATAATATTTATAACTTGCACTTCTTTCTCATTTCAGTCGGAGTTAACGGAACGCTAAGACGTCACATATCAATTTCTATGTAAGCGTAATTGCTCTAAATTAAAACATCTGATGGCAGTGTTTTTAATATTAGGCTCACCAATCTTATTTACCTTTATAACAAATCGAAGTTATTACCAAAAAGATTATTTTAAGATTTTTATACTGCACCTTCAGAATTAGAAAAGTCGAGAACACTTCAACGGCGATTTATTCGACAATATTCACTTTAAAAATTTAAAGTAGTTTGATAAACACACGTTATTTATAATTTATCATACAATTTATAAATGCACAATCCCATTTCAAATAGATTTTCACACTACATACAGTTAAGGGGATCATTTTAAGTTAATTAAGCTGAGTTATATTTAATAGTTTAAAATATATTTATATTCTCATTTTATACATAAATATCTTTACAATGGAATCATTATATATTAAGAAACTAGTTCATCGAGCGCCTTGTCCCTGTTGAACTCATGTTTGGCGAGGGCAGCCAACACACGGGCTTCGGAAAAGCCGAGGTCCATAAGCTCTCCGAGGATGAGGAGACATTCTATAACCTGGAATATACCAAATACGAAATATAATATATGAAACAACAAGTTATAATGTGCAATGTTTTACTCTGCTAAGTATATTTTACAAATGAGCCAACTCCGATGCCCGCTCACCCAATAATTAATGTCAATTGATGTAATTTGCCATGTATATATTTCAGTAGTCTATTAAGCAATATATCCCAACCATATACACATTGCTACCAGATATAATAAAGATAAAAACAATCCTCCATATTATTGTGCAAAATAATATGATAAAAATATTTTGTTTACAATACAACAATAGGCGATATAAAGTATGATATTAAAAGTCTAGAATAAGCAGCCATCATACTGATATAACATTTGTCATAGATAAGAATACAATTACCTTTTTATCATTTTCACCTATAAGACTACACACCCTAGCCACCCTGTCCAATGGAAACCCCATGCCATGTATCTTCTTACACATAGTTTGCATTAATGGTGGAAGTTTTTCATATGGATTTGGCAACTTTTCTATTTTTCGTTTCCGTTTCTCCTCCTTCTTATCACTACCAGATAAAGATCTCGGAACAATGACAGGCGCTGGGCTCGCATTGTATGACCGGTCGGTGACCCTCTGTCTCTCTGAAGCTAATTCTTCATTCAATTCTTTAACAATATCCGGCACACTTCTCGATCTAGATTTTACTGTATTCTGGGAACTTGCTAAGACACTTTCTTTAGTGTCCGTCATTTCCGGTGTATTTACTGTATTGGTATAAGGTTGTTGAACCTGGTTATAGGGCAAATAGTATGGTTGAGCACTGTATTGGGGATCCGTTGGTACTTGAATTTCACCAGAACCTGATGGCAATTGACTATAATAGGGGCCGGCATATGTCTGTGTTGGGTTGTAATATTGGTAATTTGGCATGTATGTGTTGTCTACGGGTATATTATCACAGATATGATTGGGATGCACATAGTATCCATTTGATACTGGATAAGGTTGTGGGGGGTAAATAACATTAGGTCCTACTATTTGTTGCTCAATATAAGATTTTGGTAGGCTTTCTACACCCATTTGGGCTTGTGTAGCACAGTTTGTGTAGCTGTATGCTTGTCCTGGGTATGTCTGGGCCGCACAGCTTGTGGTCGACTCCCTCTGACTCTGCAACACCTGGGCTAACAGCTCCATATCATTTATTGTCTTCAATTCAACATTGTCAAAGGGACTGGATGTGTCATTCTCAAAATCTTTGTATGTTAATGTGTTTATGTTATGATTGTAATTGTATGGTATTGTAGACATCTTTGTCTGCATTTTAAATTCTTGCAAGGGGTCAGGGTCGTCTAACAAACTATTATTAGGGTAATTTGACTGCACTTGTATGGGCTGAAGTATGTGTTGAGAGTCTTGTATAGATGGGGCGGGATATTCTATATCTGTATTAACAGCTACATCGGCTTCGGGGCTATTGTCTTGAGTAGAGTAAGTATCACAGTTTTTTTCAGTTTTATCATCAGGAGACAGAGCACTGATCTCTTCGGTACTCGGGTACGATACCTCCGACACACTCAGTTGTTTCAGTCTCTCTTCTGCCTCAGCAGCAGCGATTGCATCCAATTTCTTCTGTTTCGCTTCTTCCAATAACTGAAGTCGGTGTTTCCTTTCATTTTTCTTTGTCTCTTTCGCACTTTTAAGCTCTTTAAGTTTAGAGAGTACATTACGTTCGAACGTGGAGCAATACTGGACGCTGTCTACGACACTCTGGGCTCGCAGTGGACACTCGAGAACACTATAAGGCAACTCGATTCTTGGTGGCCGTTTATATTTTTCAGATATCTTTACGGGTACACCGTCCATAAAGTCACCGAAGTGAGACATATCAAAGGAAAGTTATTAAGGAGAATGACACGAAATCACAATATTTGTCGACTTTTCGCACTTTTAAGGTTACATTGTTCATCTTAGACGTCATCACTATAAGTGAGATATTGCTTTGAAGATTTTAATTACAACTGCGCTTTAGAACCTTCATTATAATATGTCATTGAACGAGATTACTGAAAAATTTACCATATTAATTTATATTTTTAGAATAATTTTGACAAATATTCGTTTTGACTTTTGACGTCAAATTAAGTGTCAATCTTGAAATTGCATTGCAAAAGTTGCAAGGTCGAAATTATCATGTGATCTCAATTCGGATACTTGTCAATTACGACATCAAATCTGAGGAATTCTAACTACATTATTCATACTTAAATGGTGAAAATTTCGTAAGAAAAAGAAGATTTTATATTTGGTACAAAGATTACATTACTATAAAATGTGACTAGTAACTGGCAAAAAATATAATTTGAATTGGGAATACTTCATCACGTGTAGATGTCTCCGAATGTGGGTGTCAGATGTCGCTAGTGCTGCTTTTCTAAGTCATGGCGGATTTTTTCATTAATTTATAGATTTGCCGTCAATTTGTGGGTAGATTTATTATAATCGGCGTCGAAATAATTGAAGCTCGCTCTGTTTGTACGTCGAGAGTTAAGCGACAAGCACGTTATACTGAACTCAATACAATTTGCAGCAATCGCCATCGACATATTAAAAAAAGACGTTTGACGGATCGTCTCGAATTTCGCTGGTATAGTAAATAAAATAAATTTATTATATTTCGACGTCCAGACAAATATACCGTCTAGCATGACACAATAGCCGGCCATAAACCCTAGACGTCATCAAATTAACTGCCGAAAAATAGGTAAGTTGGCGTTATTAAATATAATATCGTCGCAAAGCTTTCCAGCTATCGTTTAATTTTTTTGGTTCAGTTACCGAGGCATAATGAATGAAGGTGCTCCGCTGGTGTACGGTAGCTGTGGCTACGAGGGTGGAGTGTACATGGTGGCCGGTCAGATAGACCGTAGTCGCTACCCTGTGGAGCCTCTGGGCGTGGGGCGTTCAGGCCACGGCACTCCTCGGCGCTGGCCACGCAAGGAGCGCTCACTCAAACCAGAGAATACTGCATTCTCATATGACTCGGATGATTCCAGCCAGTCTAGCAGTGCCTCCGGATCAAATAAATCAAGTGAAAAAGGTGAGACTTCTCTTAGTAATAATGTTTTTTTTTCTTTTAATAAATGTACTTCTGTAACTCTGTAGCATATATTGAGATTAAGAAAAATGTTGAATTACCCTCAACTTAAAAAAATGATCAAGTATCAAATTTAAGAAAATATTAATAGTCTTCATGTGGGATATATCTGTTTTGGATATTAGACTTTTTATAGACAAAATAAGATTGGTAACAAACAATAATCAGATCTATCTTTGGCCTTGTCACCTTCAAGATAAATGATTAGAGATTTGTGTGTAGTATGTAGTATGTTATGTTTTTATATCATAGTTATGGTCCCATTAAAATAGTATAATACTTTAGACATAGAAATACTTATATAGTTAATAGTACTTTCACAAATTTTGTTTCGCTGTTTATATTCTATTAGAAATAATTATAAAATATTGAGAATAACTTGTAAATGACTACGGATATATAATGTAGTTTGTTTTGCTTAGAAAGGTCAAAATGTAAAGATGATTTGCCGCACTTGATATAAACATGTTGCTTAATGAAAACAATGTAACATTTATAACAAATGTTTAAATTTAAAATAATGTATTGAATGATAGCAACTGTATTTATAGAAATAAAGGTCCCATTAAGTCAAGTATGATTAAGTCATTGATATTACAAGAAATTACTCAACGAAATTAGTCAGCATAATTATTACATCAGTTGTTTAATGTGTATAGTTTTATATATATTTCTGGGATTATGTTTAAGATAAAATTATCTGTACAGAATTTGTGAGTAGTATCGGTGCTAGGCGCATATCGTATTATCTCGACGGCGTGTGTACGACACGTAACGAGTACGTCACGATGTCGGAATGTATAAATAATATAGTGTTAAGTGACGCCGACTATTAGACGAGCGAGTAGGTCGTCCCGTGTGAGACGATTTTTAACACATCACGTGTGAAGTTTGCTTGTTTACATTTCCCCGATTAGTTAATACGCATTACTTTAATTGTGTCAGTATTATAACACATTATGGACGCGACGAGTGAGTGCACTATATATTTAATATTTATCATTAGTGCAAATGATTTGATAATTTTAGTTTACGTGATTCGATATAGTATTATGCTTTGAATACTTGCTAATTTACATAGAACTATCAAATATCTATAGGTGAATGTATATAAATTTATTTTCGGATAATTATGACTCGATGATAATTTGTTGATTACATATTTATATTTTACGTCTTGTCTAATACTGTCAACTTGACGTACGGATTGATTATAATTAAAAGTCACAACTTTGATATGAAGGGCATCGTATTTATATACATGTGTGTGTGTGTGTGTGTGTAGGGGAGGTTTATATTATACATGTGTGTGTGTGTAGGTGAGGCGCCCGTCCGTGGCGAGGGTCGTGAGTGGCGCGGCCGGGGTCGCCGGGAGCCCCGCCAGCGTCGTATAGCGCCCGAGAGGTACCTGGCCGCCTCATACCCCTTCCAGGTGAAGTTCACACCTGACAACCTCCTCAACGGTGAGTCACACACCAACTACGATATATAGATCATATACATACTAGAAGCCCCGTCGAACTTCGTACCGCCCTATAATCAAGAAATATCTGTTACGTTTTTTTATTTATATTTTTGGAGTTTACCTATTGAAGCCATAAATTGCCGTGTTTTGAAGTGCGACAGAATGATTGACATATTAGTTAGTTGTCAAATCTAATGTCAAAAAAAAAGTTTGTATCAACAACTACTAATACATTAAAAATAAATTAAAAAACATTGTCCAGCGGACAAAATTGTGAATCTTAACCATTCCCAGATCCCCTTGAACACACACAAAAAAATTTCATCAAAATCGGTCCAGTCGTTTGAGAGAAATTCAGTGACATACACACTCACAGAAGAATTATATAAAGATTGTATCTATCAACAAAATTGTTTGTCTATAACCCTGCACTTGAGATCGTATTCCTAATTTGAAAGATTCGAAAGAAAGTTGTTCAGAAATATACTGTTTTGGACATGTGTAAACATTTGTATATATGCCATATTACACGGAAGACACTTTTCTTAAGTTTATTTCAAAACTAGCTGCGCCCCGGGGTTTTACCCGGGGATTTCCAGGATTTCCGAGATTTCCGGGATGTAAAATAGCCTATGTGTTATTCCTGGACGTCAGCTTTCTGTATACAAAATTTGATCAAAATCACTTCAGCCGTTTGAGCGTGAAGAAGTAACAAACATACACACACACTCACAAACTTTCACAATTATAATATTAGTAGGATATAGTTCTTCATACACAAACTTAGTAGTAATAAAGACGGTGAATGGCGCCAGATAATAAGTGTTGTATGTGTGTATCAGGTTCTGAGTGGGACACTCTGTCCCAGGAGATGTGGGACAAGTTCGTGAAGTCTCAGCAGACGGAGGAGACGTTCAGGAAGAAGATGAACCTGTGGCGCTACCTGTACATCAGCATCAAGTCGATGTTCCCTCGCTACGGGCTGTACGTGGTGGGCTCCACCATGTCGGGCTTCGGGCTGGACTCGTCCGACATGGACCTGTGTCTGCACGTGCGGCCGCTGCACGACCTGGAGCCCCGCGCGCACGCGCTGCTGCACCTCAACTACATACTGGGACACATACGGAGCTTCGACCCCGGTCAGTTTGTATCATACGTATTTATTTATTCATGTACCAAAAACAAGTAACACAGAAAAAAAGAATAACAAAGAAACAAAGTGATACATACAAGCTTATCTCTATGAGAGATCTCTTCCAGCCACCCTGGAGTGTGAGTAATATTATGTTGATAAATTACAAGTAAGATAGGTACATTTTTAATCGGGGATAGTGCTAATGCATTGCATTTAGATAATAATTCAGCTTAAACTTTTGATAATCTGCTTCCAATGTATATACGCGGAATTATCCGATGCTAGTCACGCGGATTTGCACTATCCCCGAAGATATATGAAAAGTCGTGTTAGTTACACTATATATAACTCGAGAACGGCTGTACGGATTTGGCTGGAAATTTGTAGGTAGGTAGGTTGGAATCAAAAGACGGACATAGAATACTTGAATTAGTTCGACCAAAAAAATGTTATAAAATCCAAAATCGGTTTCTTTACTGCCTCTAAATCGAAACAATTCGCCTGGCTATACATTCCTAATTATGAAATTAACGCGGACAAAATCGCGCAAAAGCTAGTTATTAATTTAGTAGGTTCACTACTGTCAGCTCGAGGTACACCATCGAGGGGTATTCAGTTTGAATAAGCAATAAGCCATACATAAATGTTTGATATCGTTATAATAAGATTATAATAAGACTAGAAGACCCGGCGAACTTCGTATCGCCCGATAATCAAGAAATATCTGTTAAGTTTTTTATTTATAATTTTGGAGTTTACCTATTAAAGCCATAAATCTCCGTGTTTTGAAATGCGACAGAATGATTGACATATTAGTTAGTTGTCAAATGTAATGTCAAAAAAAAAACGTTTGTATCAACAACTACTAATACATTAAAAATTAATTAAAAAATATTGTCCAGCGGACAAAATTGTGAATCTAAACCATTCCCAAATCCCCTTGAACACACACAAAAAATTTCATCAAAATTTATCCAGTCGTTTGAAAGAAGTTCAGTGACATACACAGTCACAGAAGAATTATATGTATAAAGATACCTATATGATTGTTATAAGTAGTATCGTATTAATTCCAGGCGCGGAATTAATCCAGGCGAAGGTCCCCATACTGAAGTTCCGCGACGAGAGGAACGGACTGCAGGTGGACCTGAACTGTAACAACGTGGTCGGCATCAGGAACACTAACCTACTGTACTGTTACTCTAGGAGTGAGTGGGAGTATTGATTATACTGGGAATATTAATTATATGTTCTAGGCTGGGAATATCTAATGGAAGGAAATGGTAATGACTTGTGGGTAGTTGTAAAATAACGAAGCTAAATAATGAGATCTAAGATGTTCGTGAGTTATTCATTTAAATTAAACTAATATTTTTCGTATACTACGCAAATTTATTTTTGTAAAAAAATACATACATGTATTTGCTATATTTATTGGGTTATATTTATTATTATTTTATAATGTAAGTTTATTATTATACCACCATATTGCCGTCTTCCGCACACATTATTCTTCTAACCCAAAGGTTGTTTGGAAGAAATGGCTTATAAGAAATAAAACCGCCTTTTGCTCCACCAATTTATTTTTTTGGTAAAGAATATATTTTTTAATTTTATATATATTTGGTGTGCCATTAAAAGAGTTAAATAATAATAATAATAATACTCCCGACGTTTCGACCACTTTACAGCAACCGTGATCACGGCCGGGGGTATGTAGTTTTTCACACAAAGTCGCGTAGTATAATCTGAAAAATATTAGTTTCATTAAAACACTTGATAGTTAAAATATAAATTTAGTTGAGATACCAGCTACCATGAGGTATGAGTTACCTCGGTATAGTAATATTGTATTTTATTTCAGTGGACTGGCGCGTGCGACCTCTAGTGGCTATAACGAAGCTGTGGGCGCGCGCACACAGGATCAACGACGCGCGGAGACGCACGCTGTCCTCGTACGCGCTCACACTCATGGTCATACACTTCCTACAGTGTTAGTACTACACATACACTAGTTATATACAACACTTACAGTTGGTAGGGAATCAATATGAAGTTATTTGTCACACTGTGAATACTGTCATTCACTGACAAACCACTTTCCATAATCATGCCAAGCAAAGTGTGGGTATGGAGTTAGATTTATTCACAATCATTTGTTATCAGCATGTCGAGTACTTCTTTACCTTTCCTTACACTCCTGCATATAAAATACTTATATCCATAATGATATAATTGTTTCTATATTTACATTAAACTCGTTATAATCTCTGTATATATATGTGTGTGTGTGTGTTGTAGGCGGCACGAGTCCGGCGGTGTTGTGTCGCGCGGGCGAGGCTCGATCGCGAGCACAGAACAGGTGCTCGCTGGGAGAGCTGTTTCTCAACCTGCTCAAGTACTACGCTGAGTTCCCGTCAGTATACAATATATACACTATATACAATACTAGCTTTCATATACCCGCTTGGAGTTCGGTTATATCGCGTTTCCAAGAGAACCTTTCAAAAGTCTGGGATAAAAACTATCCTATGTTCTTTCTCAAGGTCAACTCTATCTCTGTGCCAAATTTCATTAAAATCAGTGCAGTGGTTTAGGCGTTAAAGCGTAACAGACAGACAGAGTTACTTTCGCATTTATAATATTAGTAGGGATGAACACTACAACATTGAATTAAACTAGTATTTTCGGATTACTACGCTTGTTTTATTAAAAAACACATCTCGTCTGCCCGTGATCACGGTTGCTGCAAAGTAACCGAAACAAACGTATGTGGTTTTAAAATAAAAAAATACGCGTAGTAATCCGAAAATATTAGTTTCATTCAAATGAATATTCTCGAAAGTGTTATTATCTCATCATTGACAATGAAATACATATATACAGTATATCATTTATTAAAAACAGACGGCGACACTGTAGCCTTAGTTTGTGTCATACTTTTTTTTATTGGGAAATAAACAGCATATGCACATCATAATAGTTTTCACATATTAAAAATAATTACATAAGCCAACAAAGTTTCCACTTTTGCACAGTTTCATGGAGTGAATATAAAAAAAAATACTTATAATTATCAGAATTTAAACATTATACAATTCAAAGTGAATTTAAGTATAAGAATGAAAAACAAACATCTTAAATGTAATAACTATATGAGCTTTTTCAAAAAACGAGAATACTTTAAAAAACTTTCATTAAAAATATCAACACTGTTAAACAATGTGTTATAGGTAGTACAGGGCTCTTACAAGAAAATGATTTTTTGTTTAATTTCTTTTACATAATGGGATAGAGAAGATATGTTTAAATCATATGGAAGAATTAGAACAATTTAAAAATATGTTATTTAATAAAATATGTTGAGTCTATAAGATTATTTATGATTTTATATAGGAAAAGTTGATCCCTATATACCCTACGGTTCTCAAGTGACATAATGTTTTGACAGAGTTTTTTCCAAATTTGTGTCATTCTTTTAAGAAATTTATTTTGGACGCTTTCTATTGCCAAAATATACTTAGAATATTGCGGATTCCAAACAGTGGAAGCATATTCCAAATGAGATCTAACATAAGAGTTATATAAGATATTGTGTATATTCTTGAAATCGCTTCCTTGACGAAATATGAATCCCAGCATACTGTAAGCTTTGGCTGTTATTTTATTTATATGTTGATCAAATATTAAATCAGCGTCAAGAACAACTCCCAGGTCCCTCACCTCAGTCACTCTTTTCACTACTTTATCATAAATCATGTAGTCTAATAATATTGGATTTATTTTTCTACCAAATGTAATTACATAGCACTTTTCAATGCTAAGATGTAAACCATTGGATAAGCAATATTGTTTTAAAGTAATCAAATCATTTTGTAATTTAACGCAATCATCAGTTTGTTCATTCATCAGCATATAATAATATATTAGAGTTTTGAAAAGTTTTCAATGAGTCATACTGTTTAATATCTATAGTAATTCGTATTTCTGTTGTTTGTGTAGGTACGAGCAGATGGCGGTGTCTGTGCGCGCCGCCCGCCGCGTGCCCGTGTGGGAGTGTCGCGCGCGGGCCGCCGCCGCCCCGCCGCACCACTCGCCCGCACACTGGAAACTATTATGTGTAGAGGGTCAGTACATGACAGACATACAATATACTTACAGTAGAAGTACAATGAATATGGTCATAAAAATATCTAACCGAATACATATAAAGCGAGAACTGCTTCATCTGCATTAAAATTTAACTCGCAGATCTATCCATCCAATCATTTCTTTGGGACACTACTAATTGAATCGGTCATTTCAAAAACCTCATAAGTCACAAAATTATAATTTTTCAGAAATCAATAAAAACTGTTTCATACACAAACAACAAATGAGTTTTGAAGGGCTTCTTTATGGTTAATTTAGTATTCGAGGGGTAAAAAATTTAAATAGCGTATAATCTTTTCGCTTTATTAATAGAAATAATGAAAAAAACCTGATAAACAGTTCTTGACTTATGTAGTTTTAGCGAGAAATAGGTTTAGTGGTATATATAATTTAATCAAAAAAATTGTAGTAATCATATTTTTTATTGCTTGTAATTAAGAATTACACTTAAAAATAATCTTATTAACATTTCACATGTATTAATTTGTCATGTTTTAATATGTTTATGGTACATAGTCTTATTCTCCATCATTCTCATCTGGATTATCTTCAACATTTGCAGTTGGCCAGCTAAAAATGTTGTTATAAAATGGCATATGCTCTTCCGGAATGCTATCTTGAACTAGTTTTAAATCGTCTATTTTTTTTTATTGATGGGCACTTTCAAATTATAGGCTTTCGTTGATGGACGTGAAACAGAAGTTGTTATTTTCTTTAATAATGAGAATGAATGTTCAATCAATCCATCAATATTTTCCTCGGCTATGATAGTTCCTTTTCGATCTGAATCATATGAAAAACTCGTGTATGTCGAAGGTGCAAAAGACTTTTTCTGGTCCTTTGGGACTTTTTTTCCATAAGATTCAGTTGACAAACATTTTTTTTTGTACAAATTTGGCCACCATTTCTTATATTCTAAAACATCTTCAGTTTTTAGCTCTACTGTGAATGTTGAGCTGGAGTTCGAAACCAAATCAATGTATTCTCTTGGGACGTAGATACGATCATGCTTCCGAACATTTTTTTTTTGCAAAAACCTCTTAAGTCACTGACTAATTTTGTTTATGCAATGAACGTCTTTCACGCGGTATTATTAAAAGAGGAAGGAATGTTTTGACTTAAGTTGTTTTAACCCAGAATACACATCTACCTTTGAAAAACCATTTTCTGTAAAAAAAGCATGTTGGAAAAAATGTTGACTTAAGCGGTTTTTGAAATGTTCGATTCAATTATAATATAAACTAACTATAATCCTTACAATTATTTTTATGAATGATCATTATTAATTATAATACTGAACCATTGTAATTTTGTAATGGCTACATATCAGTATCAACTTATTTGAAAACTATAAATACTGGCTTAAGATACTGTAGTAATGCTGTACATTAGGATTAACATTGAAATTGTACCTCAAACACCTATGTCATTGGTTGTTATTATTTTCCAGAGCCGTTCGACTTGACGAACACGGCGCGCTCGGTTTACGACCCGGAGACGTTCGAACAAATCGTGAGCACCTTCAGGTCGAGCTACACGCGACTGGCGCGGGGACTGCGACTAAGAGACGCCTGGCCGCAGCGATGATAGGCGCTGTGTGTGTGTGTGTGTACTCGTACGAACGAGGCGGGCGGACTGTGTAGGACACATTAACAATATATTATATATAAAGTGACGTGAGTGAGTGCTATGTGAAACGATGAGCCGGGAAACGGTCCCAAACAGAGCCGGCCGGCTGTGACATGCGACTGGACCCGGACGACATGTAGACTACACGTGACACTGAGGCTCGGAAAATACAAGTGAACACGAATGTAGCTCAATACAGACTGAGTGATGACTGGTCGACCTCGTGTATGTATGAGGTCAGCTGCATCGGTCACGTAGCTAGTCAGCGAGCCCTCGCACGGCATCGCACTTGATACATTTAGTTCGTCACGAACGATACGAGTCCACTACACTAAGGCCACATGTTGTATATTAATAACGGACGCCACTATGTTAATGATATGTTTACACCCATAGTGCCATATTGTCATCACACGGCTCGTTAGTCCTCGTGTCGTGTGACGTCGGTCGTCCGAGCGGCCTCGGTGCGTCCCGTTCCTTTTTAAATATTTATATTGTTTATTTATAAGTTATTTAATGTAAATAGTGAAAATGGAGAAAGCAAAAAAAAATATTGGGATATTTTAGGATTTTATTGTACGCTTTATGTATATAGTGTGTGGTGAGTAAAGAGTAAATGACAAAAAATGCTTGAGAGCCGTGTTGGAGTGTTGAGAGGTGTTTGTGTCGAGTCGGCGCGGTAGGGCTGCGGCTGTACACACACTAGATAAATTCCAGTTTTAATGTCAAAGGGTGCTAATTATTCGTTAACTCTAGGATAAACGATATGGTGCTATATTTTGGGTTGCCTTAACTGAAGTAGTCAGCTTGCCGTGTTACATGTGACGCTTGACCTCGGGTTCCTGTATGTTGAGGTTAAATATGAGAGATGCATATCTTATGATTATAACTGAAGATTGTACAATTGTTATATCTTAGCTTAGAGGAATTGTTTATGAGACGTTGTTAATATGTACACCAACCGAGAACGTCCGACCACAGCACTTGACACTGCGAGCTACTCTACTATAACTATACATACTTATATATGATACATAATTATGTTTATATCCGGTCTTAGTTAATGTTTCGAATGAATCGAGGTCGGCCCTCTCGTGACTCGATAACCATTGCATCGGACAGACTCTGCCTGGCGAACATATAGGGATTATTAATATAAGTTTTATATCGATTTTATGTATGAAACACTTTGCTGAGCTGAATATTAAAGTACAATAATTAATTATTAAAAATGAATAATCGTAAGAAAACTGTTTGTATAGTGTCTCAAAAAAAACTGTTAATTTGAAAAAAATTATATATAAAAACAAAAAGTTTAAAAATAAATTACCAAAAAAAATCATTAAAAAATTTTTAAAAAAATATGAAAAAATCCAAAAAAATATATACAAAAAGAAAATAAAAATAAAATTTTTACTTTGACTTTTATCAGGGTCCTAATGATATCATGCATGTATTGTATTTGCTTCCATCTTAAATCCTCAGGAAGTTTGAGATCATTTTTGATGAGTTTTAATATGATGGCTTTGCATTTATCACTTGTTTTACACCTTAGCATTTCAAAACGAGTATATATTATGTATAAAGTATATTATATCTATGTATTTTATCCGTGCCATATATATTTTTTAACATCATTGTCTTCCTTTTTATTATATTTTTTAATCGAAATTAAATAGAACGCAATATCATTAGCAATGAAATAGTTTTTTTTTCACAGAAACATTTTAACTGCAATTAAGACGCGTAAAATATATTTTTTTCTTTAAAGATGAACATGCTACTGACCAAAGCTATTAATTCAAAGTTTAAAAACCTTATATAGATTTCAAAATTAAATTTTCTTCTGATACACATATATTACAGATTAATTCACTGCCAGGTTGGTGTGCATTACAATATTAGGCAGATTCTACATTGTGTAATTTTCGATGTTTCTTATGTTTTTGCTAAAACATTTCAATGAAACTTCTATAATATATATGAAACTGTTTGTTGTTCATTGAAGTAAAATGCAATATGAGGACAATAATGTGTTTATTAGGTTCTAGAAGCTACATATTTGTTATATTAATAAACAGGCAACAGTTTTCTAGTTCTGAATTATTACCTTGTGGAATGTTACCATTACAACACACACACAGTTGTCTGTGTATTATGTACACACATTATGTATAACTGATCTGTTTCATCTTGTTTTTCTACTATACACTTGTTGCATTTTATTTATCTGAACATGAACAACTACTGTACAAAGAAATTATTGTAAAAGTTGAACAATAAATTATATACAAACTGCCAATAATTGTTTGATTCCTTCATACATAAACATATTCAATAATAACAACTAGTGATTATCGATCTGTTTGTTGCTCACGATTTTTTCTATTCCAATTTGGATTTACACTTAAGACCTCTGAAACAATAATCGTTTTATTCTATAAAAACGCTTAACTCTTCTCAAGAATTAGCTTTCAAGTCCCATGTTTCTGAGCCATCAATCAAGTTCGTATCAATTTTTTATCCTGTTCTTCGATAGAACGAAAATTTTAAATAGCCTCTGGCGACCGATACATCGTTATATGTGTTCACGCAAATAGAAGCTGAAACCTTAATATACCAATACTGATGCCGGACAGCAGCGCCATCAGAGAACTTCCACCCACTATGTTAACCAAAACACTTGAAGAGCTTGATGACTAAAGTAAAATCCAACAATGACATACAATTTAGAATCATATGTAAGTTGTCACAGTATTCTTGGCACCGATACGGGTACTGGGTAGGGTGTGATGAAAAACGACAACATCTGACTATGTATAATGGATATTACCTGGTTGAACGAATACGACTAAACTAGAATTAGACATAAAAAAAAATAGATGACATAGTGGGCTAGTGGGTAAAACCAGGATAAAATAATACTAGATGACGCCTTTTATTTCATTTCCGCGAAGGACACCAATTGTCCACAGGTGGCGCTGGAATATTAATTAATAAGTCGTTCAAGGCTAATGTCGCAGAGTTCAACTTCGGTACCTTAACTGTACCATGTAATAAGGGTAACCAACGAAACGGTGGTTAAAGCTACATGTCATACTTAAACCATTTATATTGCCAACAATATCCAAGAATTGCGAATCGAAAGTATAGTGTCATTAAGGAGATGGACTTTATTATTTTCAATCTGTAGGAATGTCTAAGGCGGCCAACCGTCCCGCAATTCTAGACGAAATCCCGCTTTGAAATTATTAGTAAAATAGTCCCGGAAAACGTTGTATACGTCCCGCATTCCTATTTTTCTACCAGACTTCTACACAACACCCATACCACGGTCATCAGTGCAGGAACACAGATTACCTATAATAGGGACAAGCGTATCGTACCCGCGTTAATCTCGTTTTCTTTCTTTCTTCTGAACTCATGACGCGTAAGAGAGTACTTAAATTTAATATGGGCAGTTGCGAAGATTTTTATGACATTCCCAATCCCTAACACCCCCCCCCCCCCGCCATTCACGAAAGGTTAAGTCCCGCATTCAGTTTTCGGAAAGTTGGCCGCCTTAGGAATGTCTGTCTAGGTAAATACCGACAGTGTTCGCCGTATTATAAAAGGCGTCCTGATAATAAATGGGAACGTCGACCGAGCAGGTCTAATGAAAGTTACTTTTAGGCCATTGCTTTTTGAAGTCCAAAGTTGTATACAACAGATATTCGGGCAACTATAGAACAATGGGTTCTGTAGCTAAGAAACTGTGCTGAAAACCTGGGACATTAAGGACATTGATTGACTCAGAATACGAACAGAAGTGATATCATTTAACATCTGACCGTCAGGCATTCATTACGAAATTAAGGGACTATAATTGGATGAGATTCGTGACAAAATATTATGATACCATTATTCTCATTGGGGGTGAAAAGTCTTAGGCCAGTGCAGAAGCCTTTAAAATTAATGAAAAATGAAAATGAATTATAGTAGAATGAAACTCATTAGAAAAGGAGGGAATATTATAAAAATTAAAGAAAAAATAATTTACGGGCTATCTGAGGTCGGCAAGGGTATGGGGATGGGTATTTAAGGGTAAAAAATGGGTTTTCTCGATTTTCGGCAAAACTAAAAGTCCTACGGAAAAAAGTTGTATGGCAAAATTGTAGGTAATAAAAAGATCTAAAACTTTTGTACTAACATTTTTTTCACATAACCTCAAATTTTTGGTTTTTAATTTTTATCTCTTACAAAAAACAATATTTTGTCACGAAATTTGGTGAAAACTTACCTTTTGATATCCCAAATACACTGTAATTAGTTTAATAAGAAATATTTATTTTTTCAGCTTATTTTGAATAAATACCGAAAAATCAGCCTCATTTTCAATCGAAAAATCACCCGTCAAACTATCAGTTTTTTCAAAAATTTGGAGTGTTTTCTGTTCGTTAAAATCTCTATTTTCCGATGGTGAAGAAAAAAATATAATTTCCTTACTTACAGTTACATTTTTGGATAAAATGATCATGTCCCTTTTAATAAAATGACACTCGATATCGTTTGGAAAATGCTCTTTCAATTTATTGCTTCAATTTCGAAAAATAGAGATTTTAACGAACAGAATACACTCCAAATTTTTGAAAAAAACTGATATTTTGATGGGTGATTTTTCGATTGAAAATGAGGCTGATTTTTCGATATTTATTAAAAATAAGCTGAAAAAATAAATATTTGTAATGAAATAAATTACAGTGTATTTGGGACATCAAAAAGTAAGTTTTCACCAAATTTAGTGACAAAATATTTTTTTTGTGAGAGATAAAAATAAAAAACCAAAAACTTGGTTTTTCGAAATTTTCACATAAATTTTGAGGTGATGTGAAAAAATGTTCGCACAAAAGTTTTAGATCTTTTTATTACATACAACTTTGCCATATAACTTTTTTCCGTAGGACTTTTAGTTTTGCCGGAAATCGATAAAACCCATTTTTTACCCTTAAATAAACACCCCCATACCCTTCCCGACCTCAGATCACACGTAAATTATTTTTCCTTTAATTTTTATAGTATTATCCTCCTTTTCTAATGAATTTAATTCTACTATAATTTAATTATGTTTAAAAAGCTATTGGCACTGGTCTATCTGTCAAGACCCATTTTTTCTATCCTCTGAAAAATTTCAGAATAGCTTAAACCTTAATCCTTAAGGCACTATAGTTACCTCTAAATTAAAAATTCTAACCGAAGTCGAAAATATGTTAACATACTATGGAGCTCTCGAACACCTTCACATAGAATCCAAAGCTCGAAAAAAGATTTAAAGATCTGTCGAGACACAACCCAGTTACCAGCTCCCTGACATCGGTATCTTTCAGATAGCTTGTTATTAAAAAAACTTGAGAGAGGGCGGAATTACCACAGAGTCAAAACAGCAAGGACTTCGGTTCGATAGTTAAATAAAAGAACTAGTAAGCGATAGCTCTCTTTGATTTACTTGGTATTCTCGAGAGATGAAATGATGCAAATTAATTTGTTGACTTAAAACCTATTACCAAGGTAGATTTAAAAATGGTTTCGCTGTCGAAGATCACATACACTAACTCCGGCAAACTATCCAAAAGACCGAAGTGCATAACCGACCTGTTGGCATTATTTTTGTTGACGGTGTAAAACGCTTCCGATAGAATTGAAACTTTTACTGTTCACTAGTCGAGTTAATGTGGCGACCCATAACATACAAGATTGGAACGAACGAGGCATTAACGTGAACGAGGCTTTTTTTACACACTTGCAATTTGCTGAAAACATATCACCATCTTGGTGAAACTCTGACCGAAGAGGAGGCGAGGCGGAACAGCTAGTCGAGTGATTTTTTTAATACTGGTGGAACTTGGGATCAACCATAAATAAACCAAAGTTATGGATTGTGACCCTATAGCCTTGTGACCCTACGGCTAGTGATTGTGAAAGGCTGTTATTGAAGTTGTATAGAAAGATATCTTGACCAAATCATCTAGATTGGATGGCACAACTTCCATATGGGACAATACGTTAGGTCTAAGGAAGCGACATCTTAATTTGGAGTTGTCAATCCTGCAATCTCGGAAGAGCAGAACTTGAAAAAACCTTTTCATACTAGTCTTGATAATCACCGTAGATAAAGTGCGTAAATTTAAGGACTCACAGCGGGCTATAAAGCGTGAGATGCTCTGAGTTTCTCTAGCACGTCCAGTTCAAAATAAAGTCCTATGCCAAAGCATTAAAATCACCGACATCTCACGCAGTTTCAGTATTATAACTGGGAAACGGGCACTGGCCTGATGTGACAGACAGAATTCACAAGCTCGGAAAAAAAGCAATCGTTTTATATTTTTTGATGTTTTATAATCATTAACATCTCTATATGTATTTTTACCATGAGATTATTAATATCTAATTAATATAATATGTTGTTTTATAGTTAAAGATTTATTTTTAGTATTACAAAACTCACCTAAATGTGAAGGTAACTGTCATCTTAACTAAATTGAGTAGATATAATTATAAATACAATAATAAGAGAATACAAAATAATATATTCCTACTTGAATCCTAACATAGGTGGTCAAAAGATTTTAATAACATTTGCATGTACTTAAATTTTTTATTAATATCATTAATATACTATATAAAAACATATATATTTTTTTATTTTGAACGCTTATATAGATGGCTATCCGTTTCCGCTTCTATAGTCTATGCTGTCAATCCGCCATAATAGTTCTATCAAAGACAAAACGCCGGTCTTTTATTTCTCGTTTTCCGCCCAGAAGAAAGTGAATAAATTTTTAGTGGAAAATTAGTAAATGATGGCAGCAAATAATTATTTTGGGTTTACCCATGGAGGGACCCAATATGGGTGAGTTTTATCAATGTTTTTTGGCATTATTATGATATTTGTGATAGCTTAAAGTAGAAGTAATGAAATGCTCACAATTTCGTGTAATCAAAATGGCGTCAGGACTGTATTGATCGTGGTAATTTTGTTCAAAAGCCGTGTTTTTGATTGTTAAAATGTTAGTTTGTGTAATTTTAGTGCGGCCACAGCTAGCGCGGCTTACGGCGGCCAAACGGGGTACGCCGTGGCGCCTGCTGCGACCGCCGCGACGTACGGAACACAGCGTGCCGCAGCTACGGGGTACGATACTGCGTACCAGGCAGCGGCCACGCAGGGTGAGGCGATACACAACTAAACTACATAACGAACATTAAATATACGTCCTTTACTTACAACTTATTATAGAACAGAAAAATACAAACATATACTACGTTACAGACTACAGTAACGTGTTCTATTTAAAAACAACTCGACGCCCCACAACTGACAAGATTTATAATAACAAAATAAGTAATGAAATCAAATTTTGTTTCTGATTTAAGGCATGGTAGATAAATACCAAACATTAAAATAAAGTAAAAAAATATATAACAATCATAGAGAGATTATTATTTAAAATGATTTTGATTCATTATATGATTGAATTAAGTAAAAGAATAAAGCATTATAGTAAATTTAAATGTTCCTATTATAAAATAACCCATTAAAAGCCATTAAAGTACTGATTTGGTCTGTCTGTAGCTAATAACAAATGACATGAAGTTTGTTATTGTTGATTATTATTTAAGGAAAATAATATATTAAACTTTGATAACAAAAATCACTTTATACTAAACTTAAATAGTCTTTGAATTATAAGTGCCAAGATTTAAGTAAATACAGTAATATAAAAAAATCCACCAGATTTGTACTGTAATATATACCAGTAACTAAACTTGTGTGTTAAGTTAACAAATTTTTATTTATTTATTTAAAGAAAGCAATAAAAAAGAAAGAAACTTTCAATCACAATACATAAGATCACAAAATTATACTTTCAACATGATCCTCCATATGAGTGTTTTAACAATACATGTTTATATGGCTACAGAGTGTGGTGTATATGCTTGTCATATAAAAATAATGTATATAATATGTGATCTTCAGCGGCCCATGCCCATGCCCACGCCCACGCTGCTGCTGCGGCAGCGTCAGCGTATGATGCAAGCAAGTCAGCGTACTACCAGCAGGCAGCGGCCGCCTACCCCGCCGCCGCTCCTCCACAACCACAACCTACATATGATGCGGCCGCCAAGCCAGCTTACTCTACACCAGCCACATATGCACAGGTAACAAACGTAATCATATGCACAGGTAACAATTACAATCATATGCACAGGTAACAAATGTAATTGTATGCACAGGGAACCAACACACTTGTAAGTACAGTAGAAACTCGATTAACCACACTAATGGTTGTTGATAGGCATTCAGATAATTGAAAATCTGGATTACCTTATGTATGAAGAAAGCCGGTGTGGTGCATATGTAGTACATGTAATATTATATGTTAATTCAATAAAAGTAACAAATACATATCAATGAAAATCAGTGTTTATTAATAAATAATTAAAGGATATATTTTCTTAAATTAAATATAAATACAGATACATGTATATACTAAAAACAGATTTAATCATGAAATAAATTACAATATTATGTATTTGGTAATTTGTAATTGGTGATCATTAAGTAAAATAATAGTCCAGATAATCCCGAACCTGTATAATTGAGGGTCGGATAATGGAGTTTTTACTGTAATATAAAGTCTGAAAATCTTAGGTGTCTATATAAAAGAGGTATACTACATGTGTATTAAAGCTATAGAACAACTAGAAAATAGTAAAAGGCTCTTTTTAAACTGTTCAAATATATGTATTAAAATTTATGCTGTATCTATTCACTATTGTGTTTAAGACATGTTCATGTTAGAAAGTATTTATTGTTGAAATGGTGTATCAAAATTTGTTACTACTAAGTACTAACACTATCTATGCAAAAGTATGTAAACTGTGTATCTGATGTATTGTCAAAGACAATTGACATGTCTTTATACAGTAATACCCCGCTTTATGCGAGGGATACGTTCTGAAGAAAATCGTTTTAACTGAAATTCGCGTATATCGAGGATTATGATTAAACACAGTCAAAATTTAATATACAAATATAAAAATCATTTTAATCAATCACTTTAATTCTAAGAACGCTATACAATATGTTCTTGTAAAATAAGTTCATAACACCCAACACTGTTTTTAATTGTTTGACACACAGTCAAGGCGCCGTCATCATTATTATCTATATATACTCTGCAATATGTCCAAATTAGAATAAATTTTTGAAATTCGTGTTATAATGCAACCGTGCACAACAGGGGCGTGTTAAGTGGGGTATTACTGTACATATTTATCATGTGTGTAATATCCCATGTATGTGTGTATCTTCAGCCGCTGGTGAGTCAATACGGTCAGGGCGGTGCTCGCGGCGGAGGGACCAAGGCGGCGTACGGCAGCGTGTACACCGCTACCACCGCCGCCTCATACCCCAGCCAGCCGTACACACAGCCAGCCGCACAACCTGCCAAGCGTGAGTACTACATACATACACACACACACACAGATATGGGGGGACACAGACATACAAACACATGCACATATAAAGTATATATTCATTTATTGTTTATAATGTTAGCTACAAGTTATGTTTCTTGTGATAGCTTAATAATAAGGTTAATGACAATCATAACATAAGCATTCGAGCAATACCTGACAGAAACATGTTGAAACGACTATAGACTAACATGTAAACAGTATTGAACTATCGAGTTAATACAAATATTTGTCTATCTTGAGATGAATCATTTCTCTCATATTGTATAGTTTTTCATGACTCTTTTGCTTCTTATATAAAATATCTTCCTTACTACAATTTTGTGAATAAATATTCCTTACTAATAATATATACCATACTTTCTGTTTGATTGTTTCTAACACTGATTTTTCATAGTTACTAAATATACATACCTATTTCATATGTATTTTATACATTTTTAAATTATATGTGTATTGGTTATTACTTATTATGATCAAAAGAAACGAATATTATTAGTAAATACGCGATATCGCCAAGTAGTTTAAAGTTGCAATAATTTTTTTATTAATAATAAATTAAACCTAGAGTGAAGTTTGAGTGAGATATTGAAAGATTTAGAGGCGATCGCGCTGTGTTGTTGTAGAGACGGCTAACAGGGGCACCTCTGCTTATGATACAGCTCTCTACAACGCGGCGACCATGTATGTGGCCCAGCAGAACAAAACCGGCGGCGGAGGGTGAGTACTGACAAGACTATCACCAAATTATATTTGTTCACGTTTAGTAAGTGATTTTAATGATATCTTATGATATTGAATGAAAAATACTTATTAAGTGCTTTATTTTTTTAATAGTCTCGTTTAATCATTAGATAAATAATGATGCTTGATCGTCGTACATGACTAACTGTTCTCTGCAGCGGCTGGAAGAACTACAAGGCTGGCGGAGCTGGCGCGGGCCAGGCGCGGCGTCCCAAGCCTCCCCCTAAGGCCCAGCAGCTGCACTACTGCGATGTGTGCCGCATCTCGTGCGCCGGGCCGCAGACCTACAAGGAGCACCTCGAGGGCCAGAAGCACAAGAAGAAGGAGGCGGCCGTGAAGCTGGCGGCGGCGGGGGGCGGAGGCGGCGCGCGGGCCTGCGGGGCCTCGGCGCTCAGGTGCGAGCTGTGCGACGTGACGTGCACGGGCGCGGACGCGTACGCGGCTCACGTGCGGGGCATCAAGCACCAGAAGGTGGTGAAGCTGCACACCATGCTCGGCAAGCCCATCCCCTCCACCGAGCCCACCAAGCTGCAGCCCGGTGAGTCTATAGTACACTCTACTCTGTGTCTCTGTTTGTGTTGATGTCTTTCCGTTTCTTTTAGCCGAGCATCCTCCCCGTGTAGGTCCCTGTTTAGTTGTCGGATGTTCGTCCTCCCCTCTTCAAATATGAGCTCCGCGGTGTGTCGGAGCTCATATTTGTGTCCCACGAGCTGACTCCCCCGAACGCCACAGTGACATATCTGTATGACGCGGTCGGCAGTTTGTATCGCGAAGTCAAATTTTCTCATCGAATTTTAACACTCGGTACAGATATGGAGTGTGTGTCGTGTGGGCCTTTTTTATTTTGTATTTATTGCACGTAATGTAACGTACGCGAGTCGGCTGTCGACGATGCGTTCACGAGTATCTCTAGACTGTTTTAAATATTTTTTTTTTACGCTCGCCACAAAGCTTCTATCGTAGATCAGAGTAGAAAAGGCCCATATAGATGTGACATCGACGATTTGAGAGAAAATTCGACTTTCCCACCGCTAGCCAAAAAGACGGTGGCGGGCGCGCCCAAGATCGCGTTCGTGGCGTCCGGGGGACTCAGCACCGTGGGGGCCGCTGACGCTCGCTCGCCCGCAGACAAGGACGACGACAAGGACGACGAGCCCGAGGCCGAGCCCGAGGTGCAGCCCGTGGGGCAGGACTACATCGAGGAGATACGCGGCGACGACGGCAAGGCGCTCAGCTTCAACTGCAAGCTCTGCGACTGCAAGTTCAACGACCCCAACGCCAAGGAGATGCACATGAAGGGCCGCCGGCACCGGCTGCAGTACAAGAAGAAGGTACGACCTCCCGCTCACACACACACACACATGCACACACACACACGTACGAATAGTAGGCACTGTGATTACTTAGTAAAAGGTTTGAGACGCTCGTCGAGCCTGGCGGGTGACCGCCAAGAGTTCCGAGAGTCAAATGATTACGAGCTGCAATGAGTTTGACATTAAAACATATATCGAATATGTTCTCTATAAAGGAATATTAAGATCCTTACCCGTCACAGGTACAACCCGACCTGGAGGTGAAAGTGAAGCCGTCGATGCATCAGCGGAAGCTGGCCGAGGCGAAGGCGCAGCGCATGTTGGTACGGGACGAGATATGGGCCAGGAGGCGCATGCACGATGTACGTATACTACGAACATGACAGATAGAGTTACACCTACCTGACGCGAACGATGAACCGTGACCTTGACCTGTACAGGGAGCGGACGAGGACGAGCGGCTGTACTGGGAGGGAGCGGACTGGTGGAGGACGCCGCACCATCACCACCATCATGTGAGTACAACCTCAAATAACTTTATTCAATATAGAAGCATTACATTCTCTTATCGATGGTCACTTGAGACACTACCACCGGTTCGGAAAAGAAAATACCCTGACCTGAGAAGAACCGGCGAAAGAAATTCAGCGGGTTTTTTTTTTATATATTTGTCTCATATATTATATTACAGAGACGCTGACTATATACACGAGATCATTGTGTAGGGTTGTAGTGTAGCATTAATATAAATTGTTATATGCTCCAGGGCATGTCGATGGGCTACGGGCCGGTGGGGCGGCGGCCGGAGACGTCGGACGACCGGCACGTGCTGGCCAAGCACGCGGACATCTACCCCTCGGAGGCGCAGCTGCAGGACATACAGCGGGCCGTCTCTCACACGGAGAAGGCGCTCAAGTCGCTCTCGGACGCGCTCGCTGAACAGGCACGTGCACAAACATATCACTATGATTAGATCTCTTATTGAAACACATCTTTGACTCTGTGACGTCAGATAATTTCTGTCATATAAAAAATCGTGTATCCTATCATGATAAACACCAGTTATATATTCATGCTACTACTATTACAGGGTCAGCCATCGAAAATACAAATCAAGCAGGAAGATAAGAAGGAGGAGAAGGTGGAGGGGAAGGAAGACGGGCGAGACAACCAACTGTGAGTACAGACACACACACACAGACACATACACACACGCACACACACACACCAGGGACAGGGTGGATCATCAAGATAATCAAAATAATACAATTACTACTAAAATTCCTAGAAATAAAAGAATTATAAAATCATGGATAACTCCTGGATTACTTAAGTGTATTAAGAACAGAAATAAAATGCAATATAAACTTAAAAAGAACCCAAATGATAATATACTCCAAATAACTTACAAATGCTACAGAAATTTTTGTAATGATCTGTTAAATAAGTAAAACGTAACTTTGAGCGCATGCAACTTAAAAAATCTCTTAGAAATCCAAAGGAAATGTGGAAAAATATTAAATCCATTGCTTACATAACTAAAAAAAATCAAGCCTGTACAGAACGATTAAAAATAAAGCCTTTAATTGGGTTTTTGAAAAAAAAAGTATTGATTTTTTTTATTTATTATAAAACTTTATTATTAATTATATTGATTTTTAATGCAATAAACACGAAAAAAAAATTTTTTTAATTAATTATCAACAATTAAAAATTGATAAAATTCAAAAAAAAATCACGTGACTGTAAACGCGCCATGATTGGTCGCCGTACTTGTGACGTAATAATGTTAAAACAATTTCATAATAGTACAGTGTTTACGGCTATTATCTTTGACTTGATAAAAATATCTCAAATTTATTAGTGAAAAACGATTTGAAAAGTTTATTTCCACTAACTATGTGTGATAAAGGATTTATAAAAGCAAAATCGGATAATATTTAAATGAAACTAATATTTTCGGATTTTACTTCGCGTTTTATTTTAGAAACTACATACTCCCGACGTTTCGGCTACTTTTCAGCAACCGTGATCACGGGCAGACGAGATGTGAGTGTCTGTCAGTTGGTCTGGTCATTTTATCTCCTACCGCCATCGATTTCTTAATTGTCTTGCGTACCGCTCTGGATGCCGGCAAAATGCGCTCACGGTGTCTCGAGGTCCTGCGGTGTGGTCACGGACATGGGATTTTATATTTTTAAGAAGAGGATCCCAGGTGTTTGATAGGTTCCAGCCATCTTCTCTATTGAAATTGGGGTGTTTTTTAATTTCAATAGCCTCGCGGATTAACCTTGGTATATATCTGTCTTCACGAACGAGGACATGTGGTTGATCAAATCTAATGTAATGGCCTGGTTTGTCCAATGCATGTTCGCACACTGCTGACTTCGACGCGCGCCTATTCCTGACGTCTGAAATATGTTCCTTAACCCTTGTACCGATGCTTCTCTTTGTCTGTCCGATGTATGACAAGCCACCGTCACAATCAAGTTTATATACACCCGCTTGTTGTAAAGGAATGTTACTCTTGATTTGTCTCAAGAATTGGCTCACTTTCTTATGTGGTTTATAAATAGTCTTAATTGAAACTTTCTTCAAGATGTTGCCTCTTCTGTCAGTAACTCCCTTCACATATGGTAGAATTGCAGGTTGTCGCTCGACTGTAGGTGGCTTCGTCTGGTTCTTGCGATGCTGGCGAGGCACGGGCAGGCTGTTGATGGTCAGAGCACGTCTTACATGCTGCAGCTCGGCCTCTAGGTGGTCAGCATCACAAAGGTGTTGTGCTCTCTGTAACAAAGATTTACCAACGGTAGCTAACTGTACAGGGTGGTGGTGTGATTTACCATTGAGATACCTATCCGTAATATGTGTGGGTTTCCTATAAACAGTATGTCCCAAAGTATTGTCAGGATTCCTGATGACCAGTATATCAAGGAAAGCTAAAGAATTATTTGCCTCTAATTCTATAGTAAACTGGATCTTATTATTGATAGAATTAAGATGGTTCAAGAAAGCAGATGTTTTGTTTTTATTTAATATTGTGAAAGTGTCATCTACATAGCGTTTATAAATTAAGGGTCTTATTGTAGGAGAGCTAAGGGCTCGCACCTCGAAGTCTTCCATGAATATATCTGCGACAACGGGGGAAACCGGCGAACCCATTGCTACTCCATCTACTTGTAGGTAGAATTCATCTTTCCACATGAGATAGCCAGATGTTAGGCAATGCTTTAACAATTCTGCATATTCAATAGGCATCTTATTATCCTTTAACTTACCTCTTACAATCTCAATGCAGTCAAGAACAGGTAGATTAGTGAATAATGACTGTACATCGAAACTGACCATAATGTCATTGTCTGTCAATTTTAGGTGTTTAATGTCATTGACAAACTGGTAGGAATCCTTAACAAATGACTTTGTGTGGCCCCGGAGTGGTGATAATATCTTTGAAAGGAATTTAGCCAGTTTATAAGTTGGTGAATCAATCTGGCTTACAATTGGCCGTAATGGGACATCTTGTTTATGAATTTTAGGTAACCCATACAATTTCGGTGGTTTTGAACACGATGGTACGAGTGATTTGATATCCAGATTGAGTTTAGAACCGTATTTATTAATTAATAATTTTGTTTCCGTTAAAACTTTACTGGTCGGGTCTTTGTTAACTTTTTTATAGACAGAATTATCCGAAAGAATGTCAGTTATTTTACTATCATAATCACTCGTATCCATTACTACGGTCGCGTTCCCTTTATCTGCACGGAGGACCGTCAGGTCTTCATTGTTGCGTAGGTTTTTAAGTGCAACTTTTCAAGTGCAACAGTTGCACTTAAAAACCTACGCAACAACTTAATCGCTTTGAATTATCAATTAAAATTTTTTTAATGCTACGATTCTAAAGGTTATGATTTGGAGCCCAGGTAAAAAAATTAATTACTGAACTATACTTATTCCATTTATACACTTAGATAAATAATAATGAATAACAATATTATTATGAATACTTACAACGAAATGATCTTCACAACAAAAAAAAATTGATTTTGTTTTTGAATAATCTGGATGCATTGCTTGAAACCATTTCTTTCGACGTTTTTCGTCTTGTGGAACATTTAAAAACATTTTTTCAGGAGTTGTTTTTGTAGTATTTGTACATAATGGTACAAAACAAGAGCGATAACTTTTGAGTTTTGACATTTTTGATTATTTAACAATGCCAACAGAATTTACTAGGTAAAAACTCAAAACCCTGTACTAATTATTATTATATCTCTGTATGCTACAATGAGCAAAAATTAACATTGTTACGTCACACGCGCTCGGGTTTATTCGCGAGCTGTCGGCGGATCTTCGGTACTGAATTTAAAATTTAATTTTTATTTTGAAATAACTTCTTAATTATTGCAAAAAAAATAAAATAAAAATAGTTTTGTTATAAAACTTATATATCGCACACCTAGATCTAAACAGGGTTAACTCGAAAAAGCATATTTTTCAGAACAGGCGAAAAACTGATTATGCTATAACTTTGTACTGCAGATGGGTTCTTTATTAGTCTGTGATAATACAAGTGGAACTGGAAGAAACATGATAGAGCAATATTGTGATACAGACTTATATTGGGGGTGAAAATAGGAATTTTTGAGTTATCTCCCTATTACTTAACAAACACGTGTAAATTTTATAATTATTTAGAGTTGAACCTACTTTGATAAATTTGGTTTTGAGTTGACTCCCTTTTGAAAAGTCAACATGCTTAAAAATGTAATAGCATTTGGTAATATTTATAAATGAGTACAACTCATAGCGCAGTCTGCGACCAGCAGTACGGGTTTATTGGGTGATAGATTAGTAAGAAAACACAATTTAGTAGGTACAAATCAAACTAAATTTCTTTATTAATAATTCTTTAACAATCAACAGTCTGTATCTCTTAGTTATAGAAGACTAAGTACAAAAATAAATCACAGAAATAGGAACCTTCTGTTCTTAAAAAAACAATTCTAAACATTTTTCAAAATTAAAAAACACATTACTCTTAATTATAATCAAAACTAATTAATACTATTTAAATGCAATTATGTAATGGCACTTTGAGATCACCGTTTGTTAAAATCACAGTTAAGTATCTTACTTAAAATCATATTTAACTTCTGAGTAATTAATTCAGCCGTGGGGTGTACGGCAGAGTAGAATATCACTCCCCCGTTTCTTCCTGGGTGTCGTAAAAGGCGACTAAGAGACGGTCATAACAGCATTTACATGTACAGGCGATTAGCTTGCGACTAATCGCTATTCAATATGCTCTAACAACACCATTAATAGGCCCATGGAAGCAAAAAGTGAACTGCACCGCATTAGTGACTTCTTGTTCTTTTGCGGGGCTGTTTCTGGTTACCCCCTTTTAAAGGGGAAATACCGTGAAGAGTGAAGAAGAATAATTAAATAAAAGCAATAAAAAGTTAATTACCCAGATCACCTAGAACCCCTTTATAATAAACTTCATAATAGGATTTTGGAATAACGTTCTTATCTATCAATCCTTTTATGTCTTTCTTTTTTGCATCCGACAATGCAATTTTCTCAGTATATGCCTGTGTTAAACCAATTGAAAAAATCGTTTGATCAGTAGCTGTCCCAGTTCCTCTTGCTCGGAGAACTCTTTTTCGAACGCAAGTTTTCCTAAAAGCTTCTTCTGCAAAAGATGTTTTGTAGAAAAACTCTTCTGGGTGTTCTTTTTCGACTCTGAGAATCTTTATCTCATGCCATTTGATTTGATTTTTGTCCTCGTCTATATTGAAATTGGTGCCCCATGATTCTTGCAATACTTTGACGTCATAAAACATATTGTGGGTCATTTCTATGACTGTGTAAGGTTTTCCCGTCTTCTTTGCTGTACCAATCAAAGTTTTGTATTGCTCTGGTATGTAGATTGGACCCGACTGCAAATATCTTTTGATCTGTTTCTCTATCACACTATGAACATTATCGCCTTCGTTTTGGGAGTGTCCGCGTATTAAAAACTTGTGAGTAATAGACTTGACTGGCAACTTGTTCACAGCATAGGCATAGACAGACAACAGATATTTTTTTTTTTGTTGTCCGCCACAATTGTCGGAGTAGAAAATTATATCTAATTCTTTGTTAGGATTTTGATCTACCTGAGATTTAATATAGTTAAGTATACAGCTGCCAATTTCAACCGCTCCTCTCTTTGCTTCGGTTTCATCCCAAAAGTAGCAGATGACATCTTTTGCCCTTAGATCGCTGATTGTGAAATTGAGGCAGTTGATCCTAGATTTATAAAAGAATAAGGAAACTTGTCCCTTTGGAATCTGCAAAACTGCTTGCAAGTCGTAAACAGCAGTGATGGTACCATCGGTTCTATTTTTGTCTTTTTCTTTTTCAGTTCTTGCCAAAGTTTTTTCTTCTATATGCTGTTCATATTCTTGGTGCAATTTGCGCTTTTCTTCTTCATCTGAGTTCTTGTACCGTTCACACAGATCACATAAATCTTTTTTAGGTATAAAGAAAGAAATGTTAAATTCAGTGTTGAATATCCTATTGAATGTGGAAGACGTAGCAAAGGGTAAACCATCCTCTTCACGAAGTCGTTTATAATCTCTATATATATCAGCTAATGATTTATCACTTGAAATATATTCTCTTGTGGTTTGCGCCCTTAAGTAGTGAGATTCAACCCTTGGAATAGCATTTATAAAATCTATAACGCTCTGTTTAACTTGAGGATCAATAGTTGGATGATGGTCATGTTTTCCTCTCAAGTCAGCCAGAATAACTCCTGTTTCCGTTTTCTTGGAAAACGCCGTTTTTATGGCTTTATTGCTCAAGTCAAGGGTGGATTTAAAAAACAGCTTGCATACTCTAATTTTAGATCCATCAACCTCAAAATAAAAGGCAGTATTAAGTGCTCTTACGTTTTGTGTACTCGAGTACCGATATTTAGGCTTTATTTCTTGTGAATGTCTTACTATAAATTCTCTCTGCCTTTCAAGATTGCCGAGTCCCCAATATGCACGAAAGAGTTGTTGTCTTGCCATTTCATTGATCTTATCTTTGCATTTGAGCCGACATTTTTCTCCACAGGGGGGGCCTACTTTTCTTTCCGGTACTTCTTTTTTAGATTTCGACGAAGACTGGTAGGCTTTGCCTGAATTTCGCAGCACTTTTGCAACTTTAAACTTCCAATTCGCTGGTTTGCGTACTCTCTTTTTACTTCTTTTTTCTATCACAGGATCTTGGTTAATAATTTCAGCAGCCACAACACGTTGAGGGTCTTCATGCTCTGTACCATTTTCGGTGTCCGACGAATTATCAGAAGATGACGAACTGTCACCAGATGACGAACTCGAGGAGCTAGTGTTGGTGCTGGACGAATTTGAAGATGATGGCACAACTTTAGGCAAGGTCTTACCTTTAGGAACGACTCGGAAAGTGGGATCTGTGTCGGAGTCATCAATAACACTTTCATCGCTGTGTATTGGTGAAATATAATAGAACGGACCATGCTCCTGTTGTTTGGATGTGCTCGGGATAGGCTCGCCTACAACTTCAACGGTTGGTTCAAGTGTCTCATTGTGAGCGTGTACGACAGGAGGAGGGGTCACGTTTTCTTTATCTCTTCCTTCTACCATATTAACTAAAATTCGTCCACGGCTCATCATTTTTCTGAAATATAAAATGCATCTTGTGAGCCAAATCCATTACAAAAGCTATTAATTTAACGTTTCTCCTCCTCTGAACTATGTAAATCAAATTAATTTTGCGGATTCCATCTAAAGAGCTTTAACTTGAAAATGTATCATTAAAACCGGAACCAAAAGTTAAGTGGCCAAGATTAAATTAAAATTATATTGGGCTGAAAATACCTATTACCACAAGCAATAGAATATAATTTTAAACATTTTTTTTAAAGAAATATAAATGTTAAAAAAATAACTCAACAAAACAGGCTCAACTAGAAAGTAAAAAATGTTTTAACAATACGGTAACAATACAAAATAAAAACAAAATATCAACTCACCTTACCAGCAATACAGAATCAATTCAAAATGTTGTTTAAGTTTACGCGATTTCAATCATCAAAATGGCGACAACTCGAAATAATACTCAATCAAATTTCAACAATACGGATACAATTCAAAATAACTCCACTTAGTCAACCAAACGTACGTACGCTCCGCTCTCATTAACGTTGGCAACTCGCAATATCCCCGTGTTGGTGGGGAAAGAGGGGGCACCGCTCGGTCAACAAAAAAGACTTCTAACGGCATCTAGCGTCAAGTAGCAGCAATAATTTTAAAGTTTGTTTTATCGGTCGATAGGTATTACGATAAGGAAATCGATGGTAAGCATAACTCTAAAATGGATTTTTTTGAGTTAGCTCTCTTTAGATCTAGCAGTGCGATATGATCTTTCCATTTATCACAAAAAAATAATAATTCAAAAACCCAATTGTTGAATCATTAGATAGTATCAATGATTACTTTTCAAAAATTGGTAAAAATTTAGCTGAAGATATAATAAATAAGCAATCCACCAGAACATACAACAATGTTACTTTAGGTTTTGAGCAGCTAGTGGTTTACCGAGTTCTTTCGGTTTAGTTCATACTGATGAGTCCGAAGTAGAATCTTTACTTGTGAATTTAAAAAATAACTGTGCTACTGGATGGGATAACATACCTACTAATTTTATTAAGCTTGCTAGACATATCCTTGTCCCTATTATAACACATCTTTGTAACACCTGTTTTGATAAGGGCATCTTCCCAGACATTTTTAAGTTAGCTGTGATACATCCTATTCACAAGAGTGGGAGCAGAGACGTGACTGGAAATTTTAGACCAATATCAATATTGCCAATACTATCTAAAATTCTTGAAAAATTAATTAATAAAAGGCTAATCAAATACTTAGAACATCGCAATATACTTGCCGATTCGCAGTATGGCTTCCGGACTAAAATGTCTACTTAAGATGCGGTCATAGATCTTTCGAACGAAGTAGTGAGAATACTTGACAACGGCCAGAAATGTTTAGGAATATTTCTGGACTTGGCCAAGGCGTTTGATACCGTCTCTGTTCCTATTCTCCTGAATAAGCTTGAAAAAATTGGAATACGAGGTACACAACTTTCACTTTTTGAAAGTTGCTTAAAATATAGAAAACTGTAGCCAAGATGCACTAATTACATATGGTGTTCCACAGGACAGTGTCCTAGGGCTGACCCTATTTTTAATATTTATTAACAATTTATCAATACTAAAAATTAATAATTGTAAAATCTACTCTTATGCAGATGACACAGCCTTCATCTAGTTTAATGGTAACTCCTGGGAAGAAACAAAATTATTTGCTGAGAAAGGTCTAAACATAATAACCTATTAGTTAAATCAACATCTATTAACTTTAAATGTGACTAAAACTAAGTACCTAACTTTTACGATTAGAAAACCATCCCAACCCCCACAAAACTTTCAAATAAAATGCCAAACATGCTCCTATCCATACATTAATAACTGTAGTTGTCTAGATATCGAAAGAGTAACTGAATATAAATATTTAAGTGTTATAATTGATCAACATCTCAATTGGTATAAACAAATAGATAATTTAATAAAAAGGACAAGAAATCTTATTTGAGTTTTTAAAAAACTCTGTCACGTTCTACAACCCGATCTGTTAAAATCTGTTTACTTGGCTCTCGGACAGTCAATTCTTACGTATTGTATCCCGGTCTGGGGAGGTACCTGCAAAACTCAACTTATTCACTTAGAAAGAGCCCACAGATCATTATTAAAGTAATATTCTTTAAAACGTATGGATGCGCAACATATAAGCTATATTCAACAACCAAAATATTAACAATCCGACAACTACGTTCTACAAACGGTGTTAAGAGTTCACGTCAATAACATAAAATAAACCAGACAAGAATAGAAGACGAAATCATGGAGTAGTTAATTTGCCAACACACAATACAACAAACAGTCTTCCTTCCTTTATAATAAAAAAATAGGATTATTAACATTTATGACCTTCAATATCATCAGTGTAATTATATACATATACATTAACTAATTGGCATTATACTTTAGACTATCATGCTACTGAAGAATTGTTAACTGTACAAACGTAAGAAATAATAATATGAATATAAATATTCATATTAATTAATAAAAATAAAAAGTAAATAGGTATAAAAATAAAATTATATAATACACACACATACACACACTCAACCACACATGTAACATGTTTTTCATTTCCATTTTTAATCTTAAAAATAAGTTAAGTATTTGTTAGTTTATAATTGTATGTTTTGATGATATATGTATGTATATCCAGGAAGAGGAGCAGGTATTTTGAGATACAGGTTAAACCTACTTCAAAATTCCTGTTGCTAACTATTGCTGTACAAACTGATTTAAACAATAAATTTTTATTTTTATTTTATAAGACACTTGTGGGGAGATATTCTTCACACAGATGGATAGAGTAACAAACAATATGTGTGATTTAAATACTGGGAACAACTTTCCACACGTAGCTTGATTATTAACAATAGTGGTTTGGTGACCGCAGCCAGCCTAACTATATCAAATAAAATACTTGAATTAAAATAACATATGGTGACCCACCCATCGACATAAGCAGCATTTGGAAAAGATATCCTATCTTTGTGATCGGAGGACGTTATATAATTCTATTTTGTATAACAATGTTCTGCGGCAGGTTTTCGTTCGCGGCGGAGGGCGAGGCTGCTCCGTGCGCCACGTCGGGCGCCACGCGCGCTCTGAAGGGCGTGATGCGCGTGGGGCTGCTGGCCAAGGGGCTGCTGCTGCGGGGCGACAAGGACGTGCGGCTCGTGGTGCTCTGCCACGACCGACCCACCGTCACGCTGCTCAAGAGGGTCGCCGCTGACCTGCCCGCGCACCTCATCAAGGTCAAGGTGGGTACACTTACGACTGTATGTATAATAATAATAAACAATAGCGGAGAAAATTCATAAATACACCGACCTTAAAAATGAAGTCTGGAAGCAACTGGAAGCAAAATAAAGTCTACGTAGTACAAATAGTCCTATCAACGACCGGCGTTATCCCCAATAATTTACATATACATAGCCTTAAACTTATTGGACTGAAACCCACTTCTTATATACAATACCAAAAAGCCGCTATACTGAACACATGTAGAATAGTTAGGAAATTTTTAGAATTAGATGAAACCTTTCCACAAACTTAAATCAATCCAACAGTGATCTCTACTTGACGCCAGTCCGTAAAGGTTACTTATATTCTACCGGTGTAAGCCGAGAAGACACATATATAAATAATAACAATAATATTTATTTGCTCTGAATGTAGGTACAGAATATAGGTGTACAAATAGATTTTTAGTATAAGTTCCAGGTACATTCTACCATAAGGCATGCAAATATTAGTTTTAAATTATAAATTAAAATAAACTATTCAATTAAAATTAGAAATTAAATTAACCATGCAATTATAATTATAAACTCATATTAAATGTTTTACAGATGAAATTTAACAATTCAATAAAATAAAAAGGTCAAATCAACAATACTCATACAATTGAAATTATAAATTAAACTTAACTACATAATTAAAATTAACTATACAATTATATTATATTTCCTATGATTTGTGATACAATGATAGATAGATAGATGATTAAGTTATATATTTTATACATTTTTTATTCATCGATTTCTTACAAAATTATGTCTTATCCATTAGATAATCATTTACGGAGTAATAACACTTGTTGACTAGTAAAGAATACAAAAGTTTTTTAAATTTTACATAAGTTAAATCTTTTATTTCATTCTGTTTTTTGTTATATGTATATAATAGGGGCCATGTTCCTTCCAATAAAGCAGTTTGGTAGTTGCCTGATGATAAAAGATTATTATATTGAGACCTTAGATTTATAGCGCGATTTCTCGTTTCTCTTAATGAAGGAAAAAGGTGCTTATTTGTTTTCACAAAGACTGCAATTATATGTGTGTGTCTGTCCCCCCAGGGTCCGTCGGAGGAGCCTCGCTACAAGGTGGAGCTGCAGGCGGCCGAGGGGGCCGTGCAGGTGTCGGACGGGAACGTGGCCGTGCGCGTGTCGCTCACCTCCGCCGTCATGAGGGAACCGGCCGGTGAGAGGGGTGGGGGGGCTCTGGGGGGGAGCACTGATACTCAGAACAAACTATCTATTGTGACAAGCGATCCTTGCTATATAGTATACATGATGCTCTCTGTGAAGATAATTTGTTCGAAGATGTTGTGTTGAATTATTTTTAGGTGTGAGTAGGATAAGCGACGAGAGTAAAAGGATTTTTGATCATCCCCCCGTATATCACGTGCGTTGCTCTCCGCAGTGGTATATCGTGTCTACTGAAACGGAGCAAACATTGATCCTTCCCTATCTGTCGCGTGTGTATGTAGACTATAGGCTGCCTCCCATGTTTGCCCCGTTTTCGTCGATGTGTTGATGGTCAAACACCCTTTGTATTGTTGTCGCTAGAGGGTGGCGACATAAAGCGAGACGACAAGGATGTGCTACCGCGGCAGAAGTGTTTGGACGCGTTGGCCGCCCTTCGGCACGCCAAGTGGTTCCAGGTACATTCGCCCACATTACAGACGTGTGCGCACTCCCCACTAGACGATAGGCCCGGGAGACTACATTAACATTGACTTCATTATAATAGTCTTTTGTTCATTCTTATACTTGTCGAATTGGATAATGCTTTATAAAGTTACATTGAACGCGTCAACACTGGCACTATATTTATGTCACTATACGAACTTGCACGTATACTACTGTGAGTGTTGATTGCTACTAAATGTTAAATTTGATTTGAACTAATTGAAAAATAAAAAAAGAATAAACAAAATGTACATTAAATTTGCCAAAATCGCTTCTTACTATTGCCGATGACGGACTTTACCAGCGGGAGTGCGCACGTATATTTTAGTCACATGTTTATTTTTGTTTTATCATTCAAAAGTAGAGTTCGATTTAGTTAAAGATAAAAAAAAAGATAATTGAAAAGATAATGTTATGACTCCCTTGAACATGTGGCTACGAGTGCTGGTCTTGGAACGAATCAGCGTTTCCTCGCACTTTGCTAGCCGCCGGGAGCGAGTAGCGGCGGGGGGCCACTGCTCACTTTATATACATTGCATTATTATATTATATCAGCTTCAAAGAGATCGGCCGCCTACTACCGAACAAACGAAAGTTAAATAGAGACATAGATCGGTCAGACAGAAGTTTGAAATAATTAAATATAAGTATAAGTAAGAGCGCGAGTTTCGTTTGTTCGTAATACGCGGACGTAAAGAGCAGAGCCAGCCGGCCCCCCGGCTACGGGGTGAGGGTGTAGGGTGTGTGCGGGCGAGGGTGACGGGTGAGAGTGACGCGAGGGTGTGCGCAGGCTAGGGCGGCCAGTCTGCAGTCGTGCGTCATCATCATCCGCATCATGCGGGACCTCTGCCGACGAGTACCCAACTGGACGCCGCTCAACCCATACGTGAGTACTTTAAGTAAAACTCATAGTTTAAATACATTAAATAATATAATAAAATACCTTCTTGTATAAGGAAGATGCATTCACTTAGCGCATTTAAAACGTAACTCGCGCAATATCTTACCAACTAACGCATACAGTGGGTGCGTTTTCCTTTTCTTTTATTCTCTTATTAATTTCGTACCTACTAACCTCTACAGATTAAATAAAACCTGGTGTGACGAATGTTAATAAGTTATATGTTTAAGTTAGTAATGTTCTCAAATAAGTGACTATGTATTGTCTCGTTGAGAATAAAGATCTTTAAACCTTTAAATACACGGAGCGTATCATTCAGCGGACTTTTTAAGCCCTACTTTCATTTCCTTGAAAATAGCGGCAATTAGTGTCTAAAGCTCTATTGATTAAATGTATCTATAAGTCAGTCCAAAATCACTTTTATTTACGTTAGCATAAAGAAACAAATGAACAAGCAAGCTTTATGTTAGCATAAAGAAAAAATTAACAAGCAAGCTTAATATAAATTATCAATCGTATTTATTCTATTTTCTCCCACCAGACCTCATGAAACGTAACATAATTAATCAATAATTTTTTAAATTATTTAGTATTTTATTATTTGTTTTAAATATTTTCATTTAAAATCATAATTGTTAGTAAAGTAGTATATTAATGTTAGAATGTTTTATAAGTAAAAAATAGGATCATAATTGTTTAATGAGGGTTCTTGCCTACAAACTCTCGAGTTTGGGAAGATATTATTTGTTAATTTTTATACAAAAAAGTTTACAGTTTCTCAGGTATATGCGTGTGTAATGAGTGTCTCACATGTCGGGTCCTTTATTCCAGGCCATGGAGCTGCTCGTGTCGGGCGTGATGCAGTCAGCGGGCGGCGCGCTGTCCCCGGGCGAGGCGCTCCGCCGCGTGTTAGAGGCGGTGGCCGGCGGGCTGCTGCTGGAACACGGGCCCGGACTGAGGGACCCCTGCGAGAAGGAACTCGTCGTACGTATGGAGAGACAGACAGACGGTCCAACATCTATATATATATATATATATATATATATATATATATATATATATATATATATATATATACTAATATTATAAAGCTGAAGAGTTTGTTTGTTTGTTTGTTTGTTTGAAAGCGCTAATCTCCGAAACTACTGGTTCGAATTGAATAATTCTTTTTGTGTTGGATAGTCCAGCTATCGAGGAAGGCTGTAGGCTATATAACATCACGCTACGACCAATAGGAGCAAAGATATAGTGGTAAATGTGTAAAAAACGGGAGAAATTATTTCATCTTTGAAGCCTTCCGTTGCGTGCGCCGTGAAAACGGTTCAAGATACACAAAAAATATGTATTAAAGAATAATAGCTCTCTTAATGATCTAAAAAACAGTCCGCGACAGTATATGTCTATCTTTTAAGATTAACTCACAAAAACCCTTTTTATGGTACCTAATTTTGTCGAAATAATTTGTTTAAGTTGTATCAAAATAATAATATTAATCTTTATTCATATAAACAAATAAATATGTTGTTGGTTAAGAGTACTTCATTATTAATAAAAAAAACATAGGTTTCATCCTGAAAGTTCTACGGGAACTCGACCATTCCGAAAACCCCGCAAGAACGGGAACTATGTGGGAAAAACCAAAAATCTGTCGGAAGCAACTATTCCACGCGGACGAAGCCGCGGTAAAAGCTAGTAAATATTATATAATTATTATTGAAAGTTATATAAGTTATAATAAATACTTCATATCTTCATGTTATGTAAAATGTGGAGTTAAGGAATAAATAAGCTGTGAAAAAATTATTAAATATAGTTATTTTACTCGTCATACTCTTAGTCTAGCTTTAAATCCATTTTCTCTCATCTTCTAAACTAAAGAAACATTATCTAGTATATATATATATATACAGGGTGACTGGTGAATTACTATCAATATTTAAGGAGCATACTCGGTACATGATTCTCATTCGAATTATGTAAAAAAAATAGGTACTTAATTTTTGACCAAATTTCCGTATAAATAAATAAAGTGTTGACACGTTCCAAGTGTTCCAAGTGTGGACGCGTGCGGCGGCGTGCTGATACAACACCACGCCCCGCGCGCGTATGTGTGAGTGTGAGTGTATACCTAATCTGTAGGGTGTGCACACGATGCGTAATTAATTACATAACTTTTGGTTAACTTTACTTAGTGGTTTATTAATATTTATGTTATAATAATTTTTATTTTGTCATATATGATCGTCAAATATCACGTCCTCAAATATCGATAGTAATTCACCAGTCACCCTGTATATATACACAGGGTGACTGGTGAATTACTATCGATACTTGAGGATGTGATATTTGACGATCATATATGACAAAATAAAAATTAATATAACATAAATATTAATAAACTTCTGAGTAAAGTTAACCAAAAGTTATGTAATTAATTACGCATCGTGTGAACACCCTACAGATTAGGTATACACACACACACACACACGCGCGTGGCGGCGTGGTGTTGTATCAGCACGCCGCCGCACGTGTCCACACTTGGAACGTGTCTACACTTTATTTATTTATACGGCAATTTTGTCAAAAATTAAGTGCCTATTCTTTTTACATAATTCGAAAGAGAATCATGTACCGAGTATTCTCCTTAAATATTGATAGTAATTCACCAGTCACCCTGTATATTACTAGAAGACCCGGCGACCTTCGTATCGCCCTATAATCAAGAAATATCTGTTACGTTTTTTTATTTATATTTTTTGAGTTTACCTACTTATTAAAGCCATAAATCTCCGCGTTTTGAAGTGCGACAGAATGATTGACATATTAGATAGTTGTCAAATCTAATGTCAAAAAAAAAACGTTTGTATCAACAACTACTAATAAATTAAAAATTAATGAAAAAACATTGTCCAGTGGACAAAATTGTGAATCTAAACAATAACCAGATCCCCTTGAACACACAAAAAATGTCATCAAAATCGGTCCAGTCGTTTGAGAGAAGTTCAGTGACATATGCACTCACAGAAGAGTTATATATATAAAAATTTCGTGTCACGTGTTTGTCCGCGATGGACTCACTACTAAACCGATTTTAAATTTGATTTGCATTCCGTGTGCGTTTTGATCCAACTTGAAAGATAGGATAGCTTACATCTCAATTTATAGTAACAATATTATTTTATTGCAAATTAGCTTTTGCCACGACTTCGTCCGCGTGGAATAGTGACTTCCGGCAGATTTTTGGTTCTTCCCACATAGTTCCCGTTCTGGCGGGGTTTTCGGAATGGTCGAGTTCCCGTGGAGTTTTCAGGATAAATCCTATGTTTTTTTTAATTCTCAATGAAGTACTAGAGTAATATTACGATGATAATTATATCGCATAAACAAATTAGCGCTGCATTCCACCGGCTTGCTCGCTAGCACCGCCTCTCTTCTGCCGCGCCGGCCAGCGCAGAGAGCGAGTTGGTTTTGTTTCGGAGTTATTTATCATTGTTGTAATCTTTAAAGTTTTTTGTTGAAATTAAGTTATGTCAAAGACAATTTTATTCACATTGAAGTACTCTTAACCAACAACATATTTAATTGTTTATTTGAATAAAGATTAATATTATTATGTTGATACAACTTAAATAAATTATTTCGACCAAATTTGGTACCATAAAAAATTTTTGTGAGATAATCTTAAAAGATAGACATATACTGTCGCGGACTGTTTTTTAGATCATTAAAAGAGCTATTATTCTTTAATACATATTTTTTGTGTATCTTGAACCGTTTTCACGGCGCACGCAACGGAAGGCTTCAAAGATGAAATAATTTCTCCCGTTTTTTACACATTTACCACTATATCTTTGCTCCTATTAGTCGTAGCGTGATGTTATATAGCCTTCCTCGATAACTGGACTATCAACACAAAAATAATTATTCAATTCGAACCAGTAGTTTCGGAGATTAGCGCTTTCAAAAAAAAAACAAACTCTTCAGCTTTATAATATTAGTATAGATTATCTGTCTATTAAAGAAAATTATTGGTCATTATTACATTTATCTGTTGACCGAGTTAAGTATTCAATAGATGGCGCTATGTTTAAAATACAACCGTCTATGAGCGACTATTTAATAATAGCATAACCACCATGTGTTTCTGAGGCTAAGGTATAACCTAAATTTATTTATTAAAAGAACGTAACAGATATTTCTTGACTATAGGGCGATACGAAATTCGCCGGGTTTTCTAGTAACAATATAAAAAGTGTAAACATAGTCGATGTTCCCGTTATTATTAGCAACATTTTCCTAAATATGTTTTTAGATTGTCACACTTCTAGTTCGTGAGTATTATTCTGTAAAATCAAGAATACGATAACATGTGAAAATCTGAAGTACTATCTTACTTTAAATTCTTAAAAGATACACTCAAATAATAAATAATCTGAAGTACTATTACTTAAAATTCTTAAAAGATACACTCAATATTTCTTTTCTCCGAGAAAACAAATCAGTTCTATCAACGTTCTTTGCCACTGTGTGTTATGATATTAGAGCGTGAAGTCATTATTTATATATTCCTTATTCCATCATTATACCCTAATTAATTGATATGTCTTAGGACGCGCTGGGTAACCTGCCGCCACAGAAGAGAGAAGACCTCACAGCATCAGCGCAACAGTTCCTGAGAATGATCGCCTTCAGGCAGATACACAAAGTGAGTTGACTTTACGATTTATTATATCTTATAATTAGCTTGTGTAAAGGAAAAGTTTAACCTTCATTTTAAAACATACTATGTTGTATTTGAAACATTCACTAATGATTAAGTATTAAGATTTTGTTATTATATTAACGTAAAGAGTACTCGGGAGTCGGGACATGGTTCTTCCTACTTGTTATAGTTTTATTAATATCAAAAAGAAGTTAATATTGTATATGCGCTATTGTTAACTACATGAGGTAGTCATTGTATTATTAATGTATCCCATAGGTGTTGGAGATAGAGCCTCTCCCCAAGTTGAAGCACCCGGCCGGCTGGAAGTTCCCCCGCAAGCGACGCCGCTCAGCCGCCGACAACGAACCAGACGCGCCTAACGGTACATTAATGATTAAAATAAGGCTACTGTTACACATGCTTTAAATAAGCATGCTTGTTTTAAGCAACACTTTGAGACACATGCTAGTAAACAGCACGTGCTCAATGATAGCATGCTTTTGTACTTGAAATAAGCATTGTAACAGCAGCCTAATACTAAATCCTGCTATGTAGTGTTCAGTACACGTTTATTACTTGAAAAATATACACAAAATTGAAGAAAACATTTTCTATCCTTACTTTCAGTACTACTGAAGCTATTTACATGTTTATCATTTCTTCATTCTGTCTCTCTCTAATACAGTATTTTGTCTTAGTTCTATAAATTATTCTCCTTAAAATATTTCCAGAAGTTTATAAAATGTCTGAAGATAATTTAGTTGTTAATGTACAACTGTTTATTTACAGGTGAAGGCAAAGTAGTGAAGACGGAGGAGAAGACGGACGCCACGGAGACGAGCGCCGCGCCCAAGAAATAATATGTAGGAGAATGAAACACGCTGAGAGATGGATATAGGGAAATGTTTATATTTATTTGAGAGAGTTATTTTCTACTATAGTGTTAGAGCGCGCCCACCGCGCCGCGCCTCACCTGAGTATATTTTTGTGTACACGTCACGTCACATACCTATCTATGTAAATATTACTTTTACGTCACAGATCGATCTGTCCAACTACGTTATATCGGTTTAGTCCAGAGTTAGCGGTAGTGTATCGTAGCTAGCGTGACGTCACGCCACGTCTATAATAATAGTTGTAACAGTTAGTGTAAGGCGAGATGACAGGGAACGAGACAGTCCGACGAGCGGCGGATCACATTTATAATATGTTAATATTGATATAGGATCACAGTATTCGACCTTAGAGTGTTTAGTTCCTTGGACCGTTATTATTTGTATGTTAAGGACCGTATCCGTAAGTCTGTATAGTTTTATTGATCGCTGACGAGTCACGCGTCTCATATTTTGTGATTCTTTACCCGCTGGTGTCGCGTTAATTCAAAATTAACATTGTATTTGTGTGATGTGAGTTTAACGCGTGTTGTCGGAGCAGGCCGCCGCGTAGCGAGCCTTGATCTCTGACGTTGTGGGAGTCTGTTTGTTTCCTATTGAGGAATATTCGTTTTTATATCCTTATCATACGAGACTACTTTTGGATATTAATGTCAATAAAGAGTTAAAACTATACATGCTATTTTATTTCTTCAATTCCTTGCATTATACATATATTAAGTCCCAGACAACTAGAAAAATGTTAAGTGCAAATTGAGAATGACACAATGTATTGCCAAAGATTATTTTAGCAATAACACACAACGGCTTCAATCAATATTTATCCATATAAAATGCAGGTTGCTTAAATGTTTCCTTTACAAAATTTACATAATATGTATAATCTAACATTGCACCTGTTAAATCCTTACTAATATTATAAATGTGAAAGTAACTGTCTGTCTGTTACTCTTTCACGCCTAAACGACTGAACTGATTTTAATGAAATTTGGTACAGAGATAGAGTTGACCTTGAGAAAGAACAGGATAGTTATTATCCCAGACTTAAAATGTTCTATTGGAAACGCGACATAACCGAACTCCACGAGGGCGGAAAGCTAGTTATAAATATACTATACTTAAAGGGCTCTTGGTAAGTATATATTTTCCCATTCCATTCCATTTATATTCCATATTTTCTTGGTAAGTAGGTATATAGTTTCGTCCCAGTAATGTTATAGAAATTGATTCTGTCTGAGTTGTGTTTAGAGTATTTTATTTTTATAAGATTGAATAAAGATAAAAGTTAGCATCCAAATATTACTTGAGCTACAGATGTCACACAATACCATAAATGCCATATTTTCCTAATAGATATTGTGAATCTCTACTATTTGTTAGAACATCATTAAATTGAATAACTTGATACACACTAAAGGAATTGAAATCAAAGATGAAACTTGGCTTGAAAGCTTTAATATTGCAAGGGACTGTTAGAGCTTACTTCTATCGAAGTTAATATGATAGAAATTAGCAAAGGAATTATATATTTAGTATAAAGGAAGTTCCTTTTTGGTCGGAAAACAAAGGTAGTTGTTGCTGCCGGTTCGCGCTAGGCCCCAAGCCCATTAACACTGGCATAACACAAGGCCCACTGCTACCGTCGACTATGTTCATACTACATATAAACAACATGTTACAAACTAAGAACAATTGTTAACCAGACGACAGAAGATTTTTTGTTTTCCTCGCTGCCTGAACAAAAAGTCCCCTCAGTTAAGTGTAAGAGAGCAGAATGAGATAGTTCAATTCAGTTATTATATAGACAACATAACTTGAAAAAACAAATAAACAGAGAAAATATTATAAGTTTCTAATCTTATTTTAAGAAGATTCTGTTTTTTATTGTGAAAGTGGTCTTTTAACATAGCTTTTAATTAGTTTTGTTTATTTATTGTTAATAAAATGTTATTAAATAAAACTTACCACATTATGGTTATTGGAAAATAAAACTATTTTATAAAAAAATATATGTGCCCAAATTACTAATGAATTAAACTCACAACACGAGTATTGAATTTAGGCCGTGAAAAATTACATGTGAGCCTTAATAAAATTAAAGGATTCAAAAATGTATTTACTTTAATAACACTTATGCAATTTTTTACCAGATTATTTAGTAATAACTAAAAATAAGTGAACATTCTTGTGGGATGATTACCATTACAATATGGGAATTAAAAACAAATCAAAGGCTTTAAGTATAAATAAAACAAAAGAAATACTTTAAAAAATTATAATTGCTTTAATTTATATTTATATTTCACCATGCCGTCAACAACACTGCTTATAAAGATTCTGGAGCCATTATCCTAATAGTAACTTAAAAATTATTGTTACTATGTTAAACGCTATCAACGGAACTGAAAAGGTGTAAAAGAAACTTTTGTAAATCCTTCATTTATTAATTATATTCATCTATTTGAAATACCTCTTGAAATCGTAGTATAAGTAAATATCATGTGAAATATATGGTTTAAAGTTAATTAAGATGTAAATGTGTGCACCATTAATTACACTTTGTAGAGGAAATTTAGCTATTATATTATACTTACTTCTTGTTACCGTCCTTATTGATCTGACTAAATTCAAGATTTGAAACTTAATTGACGATTGATCTTCGAAGCCTTGGTTGGGACCATTGGCACCCCATCCCACTAAAAGCAATCAAAATAAAAAACATACATAAAAACTGTCTATATCCCAATAAAACCTTTGAATTTTAATAATAATTAAAACTAAAGACTTTTTGTAATATTTAATAGTTTTGTTATGAGAAGTAAGTTAAACTTGGACATACTTTTTTGCATAAACCTTTCTTCATGAAGAACACACACGGCATTAAGGCATAGAAGAGTAGCTTCGAACAAATTCCACAGTGATAACATTATTAAATATTCATAAAGATTTCCTAAAAAGAAACGTAGTTATTTATTATTGAAAATTTAAAATGTATTTGTTGTGACTTGTGACATCAAATTGACAACTGTTCATCTTATACGTGACTATTGTCAAGTCTTGAAGTCTGTGGAAACGATATGACGGATACTCGTCCAAAATTAAAATATATATGTAAACAAAACATTATAGTGAACATCACATATTATATGTCATATTTGGTGGCCACGAGTAGAGCTAAAGCGAAAGACTCTTGAAAAACAGTCACTTTTAAATAAAATGAAAATAAATATTAAATACAAAGTCTCTATTTACTTTCTCGTATCTCAGTTAGTCTTTTATTAACTCTGGGCAACCTTTACTTCTGGGATTACAAAATGTAATTTATTTGTGGATTATAATCAAACTAAAATTTGTGTAAAACAAATTCGTTTTCCAGTCAATAGAAAGTGAACTCTTATAATTATCTGTAATTTCCGTATTAATGAGGTCGTAATCGGCTTTATAGAGATTGGATCTCTTGATCATAGATAATACACTATATTAGAAATAGACGCGCCACTGTGGGTTTCAGTTTAGAAAACTACTATGTGCCGTGGACGCTAGATATCGCTGCATTTACTAGCTACCACTAGACGGCGCTTAATGTTATTCGACTTTATACTATTTGCGCTGTAGCATGGTGCTGGTGACAGTTTCAGTATCGTTTCGTTTCACTCTTGAAAGTTGCCGCGATTTACAAATTATGACTTAGTATTTCAGCTGTACCACATTCGTCATAAATTAAATAATTAATTACTGAAGTAGTTTAAATTAAACCAAACCAGAATGTTCTAGTGTACAAATATAATATAATGGAAATAAAAATTAAGCAAAGTATTATGCGTTTAACGTAATGCCATAGACGTATTTAGTGATGGATGTACTGCTACAGTGGATAGTCGATGTTTTTTTTATAATAAAAAATATACATATATTGGCTGTAGTTCAATTATTATTGTAAAAAGTCTATAATTATATTAATGAAATAACAGATCTTATATAAAAATGATTTTATTTGTCTAAACTCATATCAGTTTACTCATACCTGTTTTTAATTATTTTATATAAGTACTATATTATTTATACTGCGAGTATCGTTAATGATAAAAATGAATTACGCACATCACTAGTCATATGGTACTGACAGATATCAACGTCATATAGGCGAATGTCACCCGCACCAAGCTACAGCGCAAATAGTATGATAAGGAAAATGCAAATTTCAATTTAAGTATTAACTTTAATCTTTGGTTGATTAAAGTTAATAACAAAACTAAAATAAAAATTGTGCATAGGTTCAAAAATCCAACTTCTGGTGTTTTGCCTATCTATTTACATTATTTACTTAGCACACTTAAAAAAATAAGTAAATTAAAAGCAGAATCTATATTTAAATATTTATTTTTTTCTTTTTGTGAGTATTATAATATGTAATCGCTTGGAATTTTACATTATCCTCATTATTTGGACAATTTGTAAACTTTCCCGTAAGCAGCCTGTTAACATTGGTGCACCAACTATGAATTATTAAATGTATATGATATGATTTAATAAAACTTCTTTAAGGTTTTTATGAGTTTCGCAAGAAAGAAACGAAAAATCACAATGTAATCAGCTTTTTGAGTAATGTTTTCTTTTATATTTTTTGTTTGTGGTTCTTCACCTAATTGTGTTTGTATGACTGCACAAACATCATCTAAAAATGAACACAACACCTCCGACGGATACTTACAGGTTTTTAGTGCAATCTCTAAATAAAATATAGTTAGCATTAGCACGAGGTATTGTGCTTAACAACTGCATTTTACATGTCTTACAATTTTTACATACATTTTTAATACATTTATGTACTAAATAGCCAGCAACATAGCGTTTAGCTTCTATGCTGATTATGTTGCTGGGTTTTAAATTGACATTTTCTTGCAACAAATTAAGTAAAGAATCCACATTTATTTTTTCATTTAATGTATCTCTAACTCTTAATGTCGAATTAATAAGGCAACTTAAGGCTTTTAAAATTTTGTTATTGTCATGTTCACAGTTTGCACCAATGGAATGTGGCGAAGTTAAATTATTTACAAGTTTTGTATGCTCCAATAAATTGAGAGCAAGTTGGAGATACATTACCGATCCCATTACTTCGAATATTACAAAAAAAATCTCTAAGGGATCCTGATTTAAGTTTCTTGTTAACAGACTGCTTACGCCATGATATTTATTTAAATCAAAAAAATAACTCTCTTAAGGCATGAATGTCATGTATCCAATTTTTAATGGATGGTACCACAATAAATTTTTTATACCATTTTTATTTACTTCAAATCTCATTGAGTTTAATAAAGGTAATGTTTCATCAAACAATTTGAAATGTGCGGAATTCGTATTCAATGCACTCCTATAGACATAATTTAGCATCTTCCTGATAGGGTAAACAGACAGTCATTGGACACCGAATAGTTATTGGACAGTCCCTTTTGATTTGCTAAAAATAAGATAACAACAAATAAAAAGCGACATCTATATCTATTACTTAAATCTATTAGTTTCTAACATTGTTATAGTTCATATATTTTGTAACAGATGAAAGTAGTAAACAGTCAAAAAAAAATATTTCCCGGCGGCTGTCACGGAAACGGATAATTGTCTTGAAAAATAAATATTTTTATAAGGTTGAGTCTAAAGTTTTATTATGATTTTGGCATAGTGGTGATTGATATTGTTTTGGCATCTCGGAGATTGGTAAGATATCATACAATTTACATGATAAATGGACTTTTATCTCATAAATGTTATATTTTGAGGTTATTTTCACCTGTCCAGTAATTGTATGGTACAATTTGAAAAAATCTATTATTGGACAGTGTCCAATAATTGTCACTTATTGTGTCTAATAATTGTTTGCTTGCAGGTGGAAGTCTCAAAAATGCCTAAGGGAAAAAGAAAAATAATGACTCTAATAATATGCTTTTAGCACTCAGGGAATTACAGGAAACGGAAAACCCAAAGATACGAGAAATTGCCCGAAAATATGACATTCCAAAGTCCACACTGCATTTTAAATTAAAAAATCCTGATCATAGGACTTCCTTCGGACCGCAACTAGTTTTAACTAATAATGAAGAGTCTATCTTAGAACTTTGGATTATAAGGTTAATGAAGAAGGGGTTTCCTTAAAAATTGAAAATTGGAAACGTAGTGTATCCAAATTTCTTGAGGAAAAACCACGGCCAAATCCTTTTAAGGTTAATTATCCTGGGGATGGCTGGGTAAAAGCATTTTTAAAAAGACACCCTAACATTGTCCAACGGACTAGTGAAGGAGTTACTCAGTCTAGTGCAAATGTCTCAGAACAAGATATTCGGAAATGGTTTGCTGAGATACACCAGTATTTAGAAGAAATTGGTCTATTGCAATTGTTGGATGACCGTACTCGAGTATTCAATGGGGATGAAAGTGGTTTTCAGTTGTGCCCAAAAACAGGGAAAGTACTAGCTGTCAAAGGGACTAAAAATGTATACAGCATAGACACTAATAATTCCAAAGAGTCAATTACGGGCATGTTTACGTTCTCAGCTTCTGGAGAAGCTTGCCCACCCATGGTTGTCTACAACTACCAGCGAATTCCACAAAAATTCTGATGGGATTCCAAAAGACTGGGGTGAAGGACGAAGTGATAATGGGTGGATGACTTCAGAACTGTTTTTTGAATATATAGGAAATATTTTCTACCCGTATTTACTACAAAAAGGTGTAGCACTGCCAGTCATATATTTTCTAGATGGATACAAAACCCATCTCACCTACTGTGCAAGTAAATTATGTAAAGAATTGGGCATTGAGCTTATAGCTTTGTACACAAATGCAACACACATTCTACAGCCAACTGACGTAGCTGTTTTTCGGCCGGTGAAGGCGGCATGGAAAGATACAGCAAGGACCTGGCTTATGAATAATCCAGGTGAGTCAATAACAAAAGTTAATTTCGCTGGTATCCTTGATGAAGCTCTTGAAAAATCTATAAAGCCTGAAACTTTGATCAACGGATTCAAAGCTTGTTGGTTGGTGCCTTTTAATCCTGATGCGATTGATTACGAAAAATGTTTGGGCAGCAATAAACATAATCAGACTCAGAACCCCCAACATCAAGAACGTGTTTTATCGTTTTCTCAATTCAGCCAAATAGTTATATAAACGAAACTGGCGCAGTTGGAAACTTACAAAAACTTAGACAGTACTAATGAAGATTTCCAAATTTTACATAGTATTTACGATGTATTTACATCATCATCTTCAAATTTAGAAAAACGTCGTTCACCAATACCTGAAACTTCAATTATAGCACAGGATACTACTCACAAAGTGCTTGAAACTGTTTCAGAGGTCCAAGAGCAAATATCACAAGACGATTTGATACAAATATCAGATCTAGTAGATTTAAATTTATCTCCCATAGAATCCAATGCTAATACTAACAAGGACTTTCAAGATATTCCTTCAGAACTAACTATGGCTACCGAGAACTATGAATGTCAGGAAATGAGATTTGATAATCCAGAGCACCCAAAATTTATTCTTTGCAATAATAATTCGGCTACAGAACAACTTTCACAAGATTTTCAACCAAGTATACCGAAGGTTAGTCTGACACCAGTCAAGGAAAATGCTACAAATACTCCTGTGTTGCAAAAACAAGAAAAAGAAAATTTATCTGATGATGTGAGTTTAGTCGAAAAAAGTCCTGCATTTAAAATTATATCTAACAGTCAATTTGCACCATTTTTGACAATGCCTAAAACACCAGAAAGAAAAGGTAAAAGAAATACAGTGAAGTTTCCATACGCAATAACATCAGACAAGTACAGAGCTATGTTTAATGAACAAAAAGAGAAAGGAAAGTACAAACACCTGCAAAATATGTTTAATACCAACAAAAATCAGCAATCGTCTGTATTGTGATATGTGCTCTTCGATATTTCACGTAAAATGTGTTCCTCACAAACACCAAGAACATGTACCAGAAGACATAACAATAGATCTTTTTTTGTGTGCCGTGAATGAAATGGATTAACCACCGAGGATGCCAAAGACCGTGCAAAATGGAGGCGTTTGTGTGGGAAGGCAGACCCTGGCTAAAGCTGGGAAATTGCCAGGAAGAAGAAGAGTGAACAATAATGATGATGAGGATGAGATAAGCTTGGAAGAACATTCTAACGATGAAGCTAATAATACCAACGAATACTTAGAGGCAAAAATCCTATTCGATATGTACCAAAACAAGAAGTTCTGAACTTGTAATTTTTCTTGCAATTTTCCTATTTTATTAATTTATTTTGTGACCAATAAGTTCCAAATAATAATTTTAAGTTGTTACTCTTCTTAAGTTTTTCATAAACTTTATTTTTCAGATTTTATTTCTTTAAATATTTATGATCTCTAATGTTTGAGGCTGATTAGAGTTTAGTAATGAATAATTTACATATGACTTAGTTTTCAGAGGTGTTTATATATTTTTTGAATTAAAAAAAGCTATTTTTGTTCTAATAATATTATACATAGTGTTCTTATAGTGTTTTATTACGTGTTTAACTATAATTTCACTATATTGATTGACTGTCCAATAATTGTTTCCGACCGTCCAATAATTATAATTTTTGTCCAATAACTGTGTTTTTTGTTCATTTTTTAAAAAATAATAATATTTTTCAACTGTTCACAAGAAGTAAGGTTTTTAATTAATTGTTATGATAGCTCATTTTATCTAGTTTCCAAATATCTCTACAGTTTATGAGATACTGAAATAGTCGAAGGAAAAAAAAACTTCAAACTATTTTATTCGCTTAATTGTCTAATGACTGTCTGTTTACCCTAACTTAAAAAGAGTTTTAAATACTTAAAAAGAGTCAAAGAGTTTATCTACAAGAAGCAGCAGGTCAGCTGTGGCGACACACTCTTTTGGCAAAATATTATGATCTGGAAATAAAAAATATATTAATTATTTTTAGACATAAGCCTTATCATGAGATAGATAGATAAACTTCTTTATTGCTTGTATGCAATAAAGAAGTTTATCTAAAGTTCAGAATTAATAAAAGCAGAAGACAAGAAAAAACATCTCTTACAGACAACCTCAGGAGTAAAAAGCTGTTATATTAGTAATATGTTAAGTGCATAGAAAGTTTATGTCAACATAATAATAAGTAAAACTTACTACTAATATGAAAAGAATATATACTAACTTGCTAAGAACCGCATAGCTGCTGATACTCGCTGACTGAACACTTGGGCCGCATATTTCACTCTCATTTTCGGTAATTTATCATTATAATATATGTGTTTCTGTTTATTTATTTAATAAGCGTATATCATTTTCTCCAACGTCAACCTGTAACAGCATATGCAAATGACTTCATTTTGCTATTTTAATTTCTTGATTTTGTTGAAATCTTAAATTTTTTGTCAATAAATTGTTCCTTAAGCCTTTAAGGAGATGCGGTGGGTCAAAAATTGGTATGATTTTTTTTCCATTTATTTGAAATCCCAAACTTTTCCATTCAGTTCCTTCATGAAAGTACCTTTGCTTCGTTTCATATACTAAATTATTTATTACACTTATATTTGTTGGCGACTGCTCGCAAATTGTCGATACTACAATTAGTCCAGTGCTTTTTGTTATTACATTTTTAATGATAACTTTCAAATCAACACTTTTTGTTGCACTCTGGCCAAAAGGAAACAAAATTGGCTGTTTATAAAAAAGCAAATGCTTTTAAGGCCTTTCAACATTAATACCAAGGCATGGTCTGCTAATTTATTGGTTTTATGTGAACCAAAATCTTCAAATCCAATGATTTCGTCCATTATTTTCCTCATCAAAAATATTAAAGTACACAGTTTTTTTTCATTACTTAACTTAATAACTGCTTTTTTAATAACAATAATGATGTCATTTACACCTGGGGTAAGGAATATACAGCTTAAAACTTTCTGCATGGTTCTTTTAGATGGCAAACAAAATAGTTTTTGTAATATATTATAAGCCTTTGGACTTTGTTTATATATAGTCAAGGACAGTATCTTCACCTGTGTAGTAAATCTTCTACCTCTTGGCTAAATAGATGATTTTTTCAATTGTGTAAAAAATCTTATTGCTTCTGAAAGATTTTCTATGTCTTTTAAAAATGGCTTATTCTGTGATAGTCTTTTTGCCTGAAGATTAAGTTTCTTTTGGGTCTTACATTTTTCCTTCAATTTCAGAAGTCGAGCTTTTAACAGCCTGAACTCTTTTGAACAGTTTTGTGTTGGAGTTTTAACTGAAATATATAAAGTATTTGTTTTATTGTAACTTGATAATAAAATATATAATAATGTTTTTGTTATTTTATATGATAAAAACACTATTGATATGGCATTGCATTATCTGGTAATTAATCTAAATTTACCAAAAAATTAAACAATAAATAGCATGTTTTATAAATATTGATATAGTTACATAGTTATGTTTAATTATGAATACAGTAGTATCTCTAATGACGGGACTAATAGTTGTCATAAGGGATTTCAGATAATCAATTAAATGATGAGAAGACATTTTTGAACATCTTAGGTTTAAAAGTAGATAATGATCACTCATCTGAGTATATATCTGTATTTACTTAAACAGGAATCAGGTTATCTAAAACCAGGATTAATGTTTATTAAAAGACAAAAAATATACATATTTGTCGTTGTGTACAAATTACCTATGGACATAATTATTGAATACAATTTTTAATATATTGCAATTTTAATTCATAAATGACTACTAACAAAACCTGCCATCAATATTTGCAGAAGAAAATATGAAATAAATCTCGATACTAGCAAATCTAGTGAATCTGTGGTTTAAATTTATATTGTATTTAAAATGCTTTATGTTGTTTTATAATTTAAAAGTAAATATAGCAATCATAGTTAATTTTTATATGCCCGTAACTTACCTTTAGGAAATAATTGAGAGGAATTAGGAGAACTCCTTTGTAGCTGAACTTGATTTATATTTAAATCCAAGTTGTGACTACAAGATGCACCATTATCTTCTTTTTGTGTATCAACGCATTTTTCAGTTTCAACAGAATGTGATGAGTGTACAGTCTCCAATGTTGATGCTACTAAAAAAAATATATTTTTTAATACAAATAAATATATTAAAAGAAAAGTTAAATGAAAAATCTTAAAATTGAATGATAACATGTAGTCTTGATTGTATCCTTCCTTGTTTCTTTTAGAGTTTCTGATTGAATGTAAATAGACTTGTAATTTTTACTGAATTAAACACTGCCATTCTTAAATTACATAAAAAACTATAAATAACTTTTTTGGTTTGTTATTCAGTGAAATTGATTAATCTCTGTATATTTAGAACACTTTGTTTTTGTTTTACCTTTGTAAAGAAGTGAAACAAGTAGTTATTTTGCGATACTGTTTGTGGGCACTTTTCTTTATTTAGATAAAAAAGGTAATAAAGACTGCACATTATAAATCTATCAAACCACATGTAAGTATATAAAAATGTTAAGATGACTTGTATACCTATTTCATTATATTCAATTAAATCTAATTTTTTTGTTTTAAATTTTTAATTATGAGCACCAATTTCTAAAGTAAAGTAATAATAATGTTTAAAATGATCTATAGTTATAAAATATAATTGATTATTTACAGTTTTTTTTTTATATTAGTATTATATATTGTGTGCCTATTACTACTTGGGAAGTTGCTTACTTTAGATACTTACTTAAGTATAGAGTTGGTACAGCATTTTGAGTGAGTCGACTACTTGAAGAACGGTAAAACTGTTCAAAATGACGATCACATATTCTTATATTGTTATAAATATAAGAATCTTCCTTTTGTTTCAAGTCATTATAAAATATTTTTCCATTGATTGAATTTCTCCAAATTTGGGTATTCAGGTTTAGGAAATTGATGAAAAGGACCTGAAATGTTTTTATTAGAAGTCAATTAACTGTTACGGTTGAAAATGATGTAACAAGAGTAGTACATAATTGATTGTATATATGTATAGCCAAGGCGGCCAACTTTCCGAAAACTGGATGCGGGACTTAAATTTTCGTGAATGGCGGGGGGGGGGGGGGGTTAGGGATTGGGAATGTCATAAAAATCTTCGCAACTGCTCATATTAAATTTAAGTACTCTCTTACGCGTCATGAGTTCAGAAGAAAGAAAGAAAACGAGATTATCGCGAGCGAGATACGCTTGTCCCTATTATAGGTAATCTGTGTTCCTGCACTGTTGACCGTGGGCGCGTATGGGTGTTGTGTAGAAGTGTGGTAGAAAAATAGGGATGCGGGACATGCGGGACGCATACAACGTTTTCCGGGACTATTTTACTAATAATTTCAAAGCGGGATTTCGTCTAGAATTGCGGGACGGTCCCGCAGAATGCGGGACGGTTGGCCGCCTTATGTATAGGTATACATATGACAAATAATATTTTTATAGATTTTACTGAATAAGTATCGTACCTTTAGTCGCACACCGAAAATAACACTTAATAGCCGATTTTCGTGGCATTTTTCAATTTGTCGATAATCCAAATGCGTAGTTTGCAATCAAAATCCAAATGAAAAGAGACGGGGTCGATCGTCAAAAGCGTGGAAATAGGAATCAATGATATATTAAGCCGGGTCAAATGTTTGAAAAAGAACATACAGCACAAAAACAACAGCAACGGCAAATGAGAAGCTGAAATAATGTCAAATCAATTTGAGAGCTACTTACGCCATCTATGAAGTTATACAGGAAAATAGTGTCAAAGTTGTTCGTTAGATGCCAGCATTTTCTATACATTATTTTCTAACACGTTATTATATTAAGTTATGACAGTTTCATCCCCATGGTTTAATCTCTTGATATTTGAGTTGTAACTTGTAAGTGACAAGACAAGTGGAGAATGC